AGTAAAGTATAAGAGGAGATAACATAAATCATGTGAGCGCTCGTCAACTTTCCATGACCTTTATCGTCAATATTAACGATTTATGAGCGGCAGACATCACTAAATATTCGTAGTTTAATTTGTACAAATCTATGGTCGAAAAATGTAATATCACATTTCCTGTAAAACTGCATAATTCTGCAGAATGCAGGGTACAGCATAATAAAGTGTGGAAGACTATATCTGCAGGATGCCATCGTGCTTAGTTTGTTTGATTGTTGTTTTGTTTGTTTGCTTGTTTATATGGGCTGTTCAGTCGTAGTAAATGAGTAAATGACTTACTAATCTACAAGTGGTCACTCTCCCATAGAGTTGGAGGAGAATCGGGTTATGATCATGCGCCGTAGTTTATGAATAATATGCCTATATCTTTTCATTTTAAATGAGTGGAGGTGTGAAAATAAGAAAATTGTCAACGAGGTTAATTGTAACCCAATTGTAAGTTTTATTTTAATGTAAAAATATTTCAGAGACAATCACCCTCAAACAATAAGAGGTTGGGGTCGTCACATTTTCCCCAAAGGTCCGCGAAAAAGTACGGACACATTATTCGAAAATCTGCCTCAAGTAGTAAAAAGAAATAACGAAATTTACAAGTTTATCATAAATTCGGACTTACTTATCCAAATTCTGAATGAAAAGTGAACCTCTCCCTTTTTCTGCGTCTGTCTGTTTGTCCATCTCTCTCTCTCTCTCTCTCTCTCTCTCTCTCTCTCTCTGTGTGTGTGTGTGTGTGTGTCTCTCTCTCTCTCTCTCTCTCTCTCTCTCTGTCTCTCTATACTCCCCTACTAAAACATTGGAAATAGGGCCTATTGCAATATGAGTGAAGTATGGAGGTTGGTAATTTCCTACATGTAGCTCAATCATACACGGTCTAAAGCTGGGCAATTATAGATAAGCACTCCCTGGATCTGCTTGGATGGTTATAGGATTCATGCATTGCCCAATATGGCGGGAAAAGATAGAACTAAAATGACAACATTCTTATACGATGATGTCATTCCAGAACCCTGTTCACATCTCCATACTTTATGTTAAGCATGGTGTACGAATTAAGGCCTTAAAAAATATGTTGTATTGCCCTTTGCGACCAACCCAAAAATCGTGAAATCTACGGTCGGCTTAAAAAAAAAAAAAAAAAAAAAAAAAAAACTTTTTTTAGAGATGAAAAAATATTAAAGCATTCAAAACTGAAAAGAGGGAGAACAAAAAGTTATTTAAAAAAAAAATTCCGACCGACCGACCAATGTTTTTGCAATACAAAATCTTTTTTTTAAGGCCTAATGGGGATGAGTGGATTATTAGTCAATTGTTTTTCCATGTAATAGGGAACTATCGATTTTTAGAAATTTTATATTAACAGCATAACAGAGTATAGGGACCACATGCTTGTTGCTTGGCCTGTTCATTCCGTTCCCTATTTAATACTATATCAGAATTTCATCCTTCCTCATTTGTCGCAGCTATTTTTAACGTAATTATATCGAATGTGTAGTCTGCAAAAATTAAGAGCACGCTATGAGAGTTTCTATAACGTCATGTATAATGGCAAAGGTGTTCGGGGGCGCCGTTTACCCATGGCAAAAAGGGGTAAGTAAATGTGGAGGAGGAAGAGAACGAAAGCTACGACTCCTCCCACACCATTCTGCTAATCAATAGTCTTGTTAATTCGCATTTCATCCACTGTGCCGACCCCCCCCTCCCCTAGTCCGGTGCCCCCCCCCCCCCAAAAAAAAAAAAAAAAAACTTGTCTTGACACAGCCATGTTACTCTACATACGGTTGTCATGAATATCTGATATTCTCTGTATATGACCAAGTACGTGTCCGTGCAGGTCAGTCATAAAAATCGGGTCACTCCCAAAAAGAAAAAAAAATGAACTGCAATTTTGTCTTGTGTTGTTTCCCCCTTTCCAACCCCATAAATTCGAGCTTGAGCTCACGGTCCCACGTACCGGTTTTCCTGTCAAGCTGATAAGTAGCGACAAGGGAGTTTGAATTATCTTTATTTTTAGCATCAGACGACGACCACACAACAGTTCTGATTCATTTTACCAGTTCGACAGCCACGCCGCGGATATAGATTATTTTAAGAAATAAAAATTAGAATTGGACAATACTGATTCATAATGTCCAGACGAACGAACTCTAATAGGCCTACATGTCATTTGAAGTTGGTATGAATCCAGAAGTTCTGATCGCATACGTGATTTTAAAAAGAATCGTTATTATCTACTTGGCTCAATCTTCTGTTTTATCACTCAGGTGCTGAAAAGGGCCAATTGAGAGAGATAAGTGCCAACAATTAATGTTTGAGTGAGAAACATGATAAACGAACGCATAGTGTACTTTAATTACTCGTGGAGGTTATTTTTTCTCTCTCTCTGTTTTTAAAATGAGACAGAATATTCATCCAGCGTTCTGACATGGCAATGAATGCAAACAGTAAAAGATGTTCTTTATTTTCTCACAAAGACGTTTACTAGTGCCAGGTTCTTTTTTCTTCCAAATCGTCTTAAACACAACCTGTACTACTTGTTGCAGATGGAAAACCAAATGTGTACTTCCAAAATTAGATTTTGTTTTACCCCATTAAGGCATCAGGCATCCACTACAGCATTTACAAGATTTTTTTTTTTTAATCCATCATTCATGAAGATTTCACAAATTAAAATCAAGTCTTATAGGATAGTTTACTTTCGATTCATCACGACTTAATTAATTAATTCATTATTGTTAATCTACTCAATATGCTAATTGAATACGAATCCGTTATGCCAATAGCCTGACTGAATTTGAACAAAATATTCATGTTTTCAAAGTTAGCTGACTGAACCAAGTAGGCGATACAGAGTTCCGTTGAATTATGTCTGTCTATGAATAAAGGGGAACCGGTGAATGCCAATTAGAAATTTCCGTTACTAGATTAATTATTGTCTTTACAACCCAGCTTGAGATACAATGCAATAATCCCCAAGATGTTGCCAGGATAATTCCCTTTTTTCAATTAAAAGGGAATTTAAAAATGAACACAATGGTTTGTTTTGTTATTATTCATGTATAATAAGCGTCATTTGGGTTTTAATGTCTTATTGTTCATGCTTTTCCTTTCTTCGCGTCACGTAAATTCATTTCCCCCACATTGTACATAGAAATCAAACAGTTTTCCGTCAAAGAATTATGAATTGTATGTACTGCTCAAAGAGAAAGTGGTAATATGCGCGATATAAATCGTCGTTATTGTGATAATAATAATGCTGATTGCTATTGCTGTAGTAGTAGTAGTAGTAGTAGTAGTAGTAGTAGTAGTAGTAGTAGTAGTAGTAGTAGTATAGTATCATCATCATCTTCATCATTATAGTAATCAGTGTGATAATTAGTATTATCATCATCATCATCATCATCATTATTATTACTGTCATTATTGTAGCACAACGATACATGGTATAGAAATAGAAAAAGAATCATAAACAAACCGAAATTAAAGTGAATAAATTGACTACGTGCTAATTGGTGGGATGTAGAGGGTAGGTTATTCGTTTAACCCCGTAGAGCTTCATCGCATAGGAAGTGAGTAATAATAACGCTCATTGTTGGACAAAATGGCGCTGACACGTCGGCTTATGTTACTTGAAAGATATCATGCAGGAAAAGACTTTCTAAGCCTTGAGGATTATAATAACGCCACTGATGATACTGTCAATGCAACGGTAAGAATCGTTGCCAATTGGTTGAGGTATATAAATATATTGCCCATCTATAATTGTATTGGCTGCTACTGCGGAATTGCGAAGATATACTGTTCCGCCATGTCAGATTCACAAGATTTGCGCCATATTCTTAATGTTACTCACATGTCCTTAGTTACACGAGTGTGATATTGACTTTATTTCATTAATATCCCATTTTAAGAGCATTATTTCCTTTGTTTAGTCACCCTATTCAAATGTCATAATTTGAGAAATATTTTTAATCAGAAGAATAAATCAATGTTAAAGAAAATGCTTACAACTATAATCAAAACCTATATATAAATGACAATTTTGAATATATTTTAAGAAGAAGTGTTTTGTATTTGCAAGAAAGGAAAACATCATATAAAACACCTCTCTAAACAAACTTAGACGTTTTTAGAAAGGTGACTCCGACAACCAGCCTTCATTATATTAAGTATTGGTAAAGACATGTTTGATACTTTACATACAATAAAGGGTATTTCACCATAAAAAACCCTGATTTGTAAAACGAATTACGCTCGATATTTCCAGAAAATGGAATCGCCTCTTATAACTTAATTATAAATTACAGTGAAAGTTGGCACTCCAAAATGTCTGAACCTGAATATGACGTATTTGAGAGCTAATTATATTACAATGTAATAATATATGAGACCCCTAGTAGCTGAGTAAATTAACCTTTATCAAAATATTGCCTGATATCAAATATTATTAAAGGTCGTGATTATATCTTTATCATTTTAAGTAGGAGCTATATGTCTAATGATATGTTGGGTTTCGATGGGTTTTTTTTATGGTGTAGGCCTAAATTACTGAAATGATGACTCATAATTTTTAACAATCTTGCATATATTAATATATAGGTTTACAATTATTGTCGCTTAGAGAAAGTCTGTATGCGATAGTTTCTTTGACTTACGAAATATCAAACAATTATCAGAGGCTAAACGTTTAGAATTAATAGTTTTGTGGACAAATTATGGTATTTTATTAAAAAAGGCTAAATAATTTGGTTCTCAGAAGAAATAATGATGAAAAAACGCCTTCAAGCATATTGGGAATACTTGCTTTGTGCGTCATACTTGAGGGATTTAACAAGGAAGGAAGTAACACAAATTCGTGCGACTAAATGTAACAATTTTTATCAATTGATATCACTGTTTCTAAGATAACTTATGAAATCTTTAATTTGAAGAAGACCAATCGGCTGCTTCTGATGACTTACTTGGCGAGTTTGAAGGTAGGTAAGGCGCTTGCTGGGGCGTTGCGAACCCAATGAGCTGCAGAAGTACCGCCGCTAAAACCAGTAAATTCCACATTTTCTCCTTCTCCTCCTTCAACGAAAACAAGATAATAATGTTGGACGGATCAACCGTCTCTGTACTTCTGACCTCTTCAAGAATTTACTCTATTTTTTGCTCCAAATTGTGTTCTTTTTCTCCATGAATCCGTTATGTTAAGCGTCCAAAGTCGCGAGTTTGGGAAAAAAAGTTTTGTTGTGTGACGAGCAGTTTGTTTCTTTCTCTACGACAAACAGGAAGTGTCCATTCAACGGTAGGGGTTCATTTTAATTACGACGATGCAGGGACGTCAAGAATGCATGAATCATTGTCTTCATTATCACTTCCCTTTCAATATCAATAGCTTGTTAATAAGTTAACATAATCCTTACTCAAAATCAGAACTTTGAAGAAGAAAAAAGTCTGCATGGATAAGCCTACCATGGGATAAGACTAAACGAGTATCTTGCTTACTCTCTCTCTCTCTCTCTCTCTCTCTCTTTTCTCTATGTGCGTGTGTGTGTGTGTGTGTGTGTGTGTGTGTGTGTGTGTGCGTGTGTGCATGTGTGTGTGTGCGTGTGCGTGCGTGTGTGTGTGTCTGCCTGTCTCTCCCTTGTCCTGTGTTTATTTTAGGGTACCCTTGTTTTTGCAGTCGCCATGAGGGCCCCTGTCTTCAACCCTACATTTTAGTCAATTCTGAAAAAATATCCATATCTTTGTATTAATCGCCATTAATCTGCAGCCCGGATAAAGACGATGTAATGATTTCATCTATAATCGTCAGTCCTCGGCGCACTTTGGAGCTAAGAAGAACATCATAATGTTTATGGAATCATCTGAGTGAAGGCCCATGCAAGACTGACAACAAAAAAGTTTTAGAATGGGAAAAGTTTGTAAAGCGGGTAATAGGACTGATCATTTCCCGGAATGATTCTCAAAAATTATGCAACGCCTGAGAATGCTGAACATTCAAAGAAATAGAATGATCCCTTCCTTACTACCGATTTAAATATAGCGTAAAACTGTGCAAGCTAGGCTAAATTTTATAAATTTTGGTTAATTAGATATCTCTCGCCGCGCCGCAAGCTGAGAATCTTCCCTAGATTTTGTATAGCGCCATCTAGTGGTATTAACTCGTCACCTTTAATGAATGACGCCTAGAGCTGGAAGCCTGAATGCAAGATGTAATTTCATGTTTTTGAAGGTAATGTTGTAGATAAGGACTCTGGATTGTCTCATGATTGTAATATATTACTTCTCATTTCGTTATGAAAGCTATTTGAACCGCTCATATACCACATGACTTATTTATCTGTAAATCAGCTGCCGTCAGCGCCAATGAATGAGTGTTGTGCCTTGTGGACTGGGCACTTGTTTTGTGTGTGTGTACAGTATAAATGACGTGTGTTTTGTTATGGCGTGCATGCACATGCATGCTCGGCGCATTTCTACACGGTGATGGCACTGCACTGTAATATGACTTGTGCGATTATTTATTTGTAAACAACATGCATGTTTAATGTTGTAGCTTTGCATAGAGCCAACATGTAAGGAGGACAGAGCTAGGCTTAATTGCAGAATACCCTACCATATCGTTAGTCTTCATTATTAGCCGTAGATATAGAGTGTGATTTTATTATTTGTGATAACGGTGATACAGGTATTGAAGATTGTATAATGCAAGTGTTTGAATTCATTTGGTGGATGAAAAGTTGAATTTTACGCGGTTTTGTGCGTCATTGCAGCGCTGAATTTGGTGTGTTTGTCGCTAATTTGTGACAAATTTAGATGGCTTTCCTGATGGTATTTCATGCAAAATGTCTGTTATATTGATAAGCACTGATTCTTGTCCTTACCTTTGTCTTGTTTATTGTCTGTTATAGTCATTTAATAGATGAATTACTTGAATTCTAAGCACATTTCAGTAACACAAAATGTCCAGCCCGTACATAGTCCCACACACGTATTTGTTTGTACCTTGTGCCCTCTCTTACACTGCTAGTCTGCTTTCTAAGACCCTATTAGATATTTTAATCAACAAGTAATGTCTCGTTCTAAAAATACAAAAGAAAAATAATAGTGTTGTGCTTTTTTAATCAACAAGTGATGTCTCGTTCTAAAAATACAAAAGAAAAATAATAGTTTTGTGCTTATAATAGTGGAATGTCTCGTGCTAAAAATACAAAAGAAAAAATTAGCTTTGTGCTTAGACTAGACTAGTATTGGTGGGTGGTCGATGGTCGTTGGTCGTTGGCCTCATTTTTAATATTTGGGAGTCCTTGGTCGATGGTCGTTGGTCGTTGGCTTCTTTTTTAATATTTGGGAGTCCTTGGTCGATGGTCGTTGGTCGTTGGCTCTTTTAAACAAATATGCCTCACTATTTGGTCGATGGTCGTTGGTCTCTTTTTCTAATATTTGTCAGACTGTTGGTCGATGGTCGTTGGACTCTTCCATTCAATAGTATTTGGTCGATGGTCGTTGGTTTCAATTTCTAATATATTTGTCAGACTGTTGGTCGATGGTCGTTGGAATTTGGCTTCTAGACCTAGACTCTAGTTCTAGACTATGTTTCTAATATTTGTCAGACTGTTATAGACTAGTTCTAGATCTAATTCTGTAAAACCGTGGTAGGGTATTCTGCAATTGTTCCCAGAGCTATATATCAGAGAGGGTTTTCTCTTAAAACTGCATCCATCAATCAATGATCGCATTTTATGTGTGCCTGACTCGACTCCAGTGCAAGGATTATTTTGGCCGTTTTATTAAAAGCTTTAACTTGGTTTAATGAGGATTGCACTCTTCCCAAAGCCAAACAGATTAAAGTTTTTACCTGCACAAGGAACACAAGGAACCGTCATACATGTAATTCTAACTTCTTGACTAAATCAGCATTAGTAAGCTATACTTGTCCGCTACATGTTTCACGAAGCCCTCTGCGCCAAGATCAAGGACAACATCCTGACTAAGTTTTGATGCCTCTGACCCTGTCAAATTATTGGTCAGCGCCATCACATATCATTTATTTGGTAGACTATGGCTGGCAAAAAGAAAGAGAAACCCTCCAGCTATGATGTTTCTACACATTTTTTTAAATAGGGAGTTATCCTTTTTAATTTAATATTTGAAAATCTTATGAAAATATGCCATGTTAAATTCTAAGGCTTTTCCCACTTAGGGTCATTCCATGTCAAATCACCCAATGGTTTTAACCCGACCATTTTTGATTTTGATGAAACTTAGTGTACTTGTTGAGTGTGATCTCACAGCACCAAATCCAAAATTTTAGGTCAATCGGGTGAGGGGTTTGGGAGATACGGCCCACCAAATTTTGAGATTTTTTCAAAAATGGGGGTGGCGGGCCTACCTTTGAACCCTTGTATCTCGGGACCTAATGGGTCAATCTTCACAAAATATGTATTGTTGGAAAGGGTATTCAATAAGGATTCCAATTCTGCCGCCATTTTGAAGATTCGTACATGTTGGGGTACTTTGACCTCTTGACCTCAGATTTGACCTTGAAATTGACCTTGTGGATCACGTAATTTTGACAACATTTTTCATGAAATGTAATCTCTGACATGTACACTAAAACATGTAAAAGTTTCAGAGATATAATATTTTTTGTTTAGGAGCAATAAGGATTGAAAGTATTCATGCTCACAGATATTCACAATAAACCCTATTATAATGTATACAATACATGCAATATGCACAGTACAACATAAATCTTCCACATGCTTTTTTGTTTTAGGCATATATCCATCCTAAATGTCAGTAGTACTTGAATAGAAATAAAATGACAAGTTCATATAGGCCTAAAGGGTTAACAGGATGTATGGCTTTAGGCCTCTGAGTCGGTTCTAGGATAATTACCCCCCTGGAAAATTAACCCTCAGGAAATTCCCCCCCCCCCCTGAGGACAATTACCCCCCAAGGACTATCACACCCAGAGGATTATTACCCCTCAGAAAATTACCTCCTAGGACAATCTGTCCCCCCCCCCCCCCCCACCGAGGACAATCAACACCCGGACAATTTCCCCCTAGGACAATTACCCCCCCACCCCCCCCCCCCCCCCCCCCCCCCCCCCCCCCGGGAAAATTACCCCTCAAGAATAATATACCCCAAAAAATAAATCTGCTTTGATTATAACCACCTTATTATCAGTTTGGACTTCCACTTTAACAAATAGGGGGGGGGGGGGGGTAATTGACCTCTGGGGTAATTGTCCTTAGAGGGTAGTTTTCAGGGGTGAATTTTCCAGGGGGTAATTATCCTAGAACCGACTCAGAGGTCTAAAGCCATACATCCTGTTAACCCTTTAGGCCTATATGAACTTGTCATTTTATTTCTATTCAAGTACTGCTGACATTTAGGATGGATGTGACTAAAACAAAAAAAAACATGTGGAAGATGTATGTTATACTGTGCATATTGCATGTATTGTATACAGTATAATAGGGTTTATTGTGAATATCTGTGAGCATGGATACTTTCAATCCTTATTACTCCAAAACAAAAAATATTATATCTCTGAAACTTTAATATGTTTTAGTGAACATGTCAGAGATTACATTTCATGAAAAATGTTGTCAAAGTTACGTGATCCACAAGGTCAATTTCAAGGTCAAATCTGAGGTCAAGAGGTCAAAGTACCCCAATATGTACGAATCTTCAAAATGGCGGCAGATTTGGAATCCTTATTGAATACCCTTTAAAACAACACAAATTTTGTGAAGAATGACCCATTAGGTCCCGAGATACAAGGGTTCAAAGGTAGGCCCGCCACCCCCATTTTTGAAAAAATCTCAAAATTTGGTGGGCCGTATCTCCCAAACCCCTCTCCCGATTGACCTAAAATTTTGGATTTGGTGCTGTGAGATCACACTCAACAAGTACACTAAGTTTCATCAAAATCAAAAATGGTCGGGTTAAGATTTTCAGATTTTTTGGGTGATTTGACATGGAATGACCCCTTAACTGGACTGATTGTACACATTTATTTCAACATTGTATATTCCTCAAAGGGATAAGTATCTGCCACGGAAGGCAAGCCATAGTCAGAAGTATATTCTCTAGTATTTCAGACACATATTAATTTTGAGATAAATTTTCTCTCCAAATGGGTAAACTGAATTTAGTTGAAAAACATGTGTTTTAACTTTTGGAATGTCGAAGTTTTGTCATTTTAACAATTTTTTTAAAAGCCTAAAACAGTGGGTGTATTTCTTTTTTTATTTTTTTATAAATAAACTATGAAATGCAAATATTTGGGAGTACACATCTAAAAAAAAAAACTTATTTACCGGTCATAAGATAAAATACTCACAAATGTATTTTACAAGTAATTCTATGGTATAACCTACACAAATTTTGAAGTATTTTGCATCTCTTATCCTTGGTGCTATTTTTAATCTTTTTTATTCCTAATTCATTAAAAAAATTGCAGTTTTCCTAAAATTACTTTTTTTTTAAATCCGGTGCCCGGTGGAATTTTGACTAGGGCTTTGTCTTGGCTCCTCTTCTAGCACATAGTAACGATTTCACAAGATGTTTAGCAAGTAAGCTCTTTTGTGAAATGGTTTATGAAGATCAGAGCATAGAAGATCAGAGACATCTCAGTAGTTGGCAGATAAAGTTATGACTGTCTTGTCGTCGGTTTCGAGAAACGGGCCCCTGTACTCTTGCATAAGAAGAAGTCTATTGTCTGATAAAAATGTGAGTGTCATTGAAGGGCAAGCTAAGCATGAGATATAAGAGGGCACAATAAACTTATTGGTATATTGTGACCCTGCTGAAGTCTCCCCAAAATGACGATGCACCACCACAAAAATGCAAATGGAACAGTTTGAACTTTAAACCCCTGAAAACTCAAATCAGAATCATCCTTACACAGATCTCTTGATTTGTGGCTTCTCTTCAGCAAAAATATTAATTATAGATAATAAAATATGCCTCTCTCTTAACAACATAATATTGTTGAAAATGGAACATACTTTTATCTCAGTAGTCCTATAAAGAGGTTGTCACTGTCCCAGACCATATTGCTTAACTAATTGTTGTTCTTCATAAAAGTACAAACATTTAATGCTCTTCTTTATGTATCTTACTTTTCCTAGGCATATCGTTGGGACTTCAGTAATCAAGATGCCTCAGAATAAGACCAAGAAGGCTGCTGAGAAGGCTAACGAAAAGGCTCCCATTAAGGCTGTCAAGAAGGCTTCTGTTACGGCTGTCGCAAAGACTTCTGAAAAGGCTGCCAAGAAGGCTCACGAGAAGGCGCCCAAGAAGGTTCCTCAGGAGACCTCTGAGAAGCCCGCCGAGAAGGTTGTCAAAAAGCGAGTCAAGTCTGAGGACCCCAAGAGTGGAGTCCATGTCTTCTTAGGAGCCAAGGACTTTCCAAGATGGTGTGTCATGAAGGAGAAGTCTGGATGCAAGACCAATGTACAGCTAATGAGGTGGCTGCTTGGTATAGCAGAGAAATACTTTGGGTAGGTTGATAAAAATGTCAGAATATCATCATGACAGTAGCCAGTAGTGGTTGTTCAAACGTGATAACATGCACATGATGTAGGGATTTGAGTATGAAGAAACCCACATCATTTATTCTGAGCATGTAAACAAAAGTGTGGGTGTGGAAATTTGAAACAATGCACTTGATAATCTGAGAGGATGTTATTTAAACAATATATATTTGCCATCATGCAAAAATACAAAATGATAATTAAGAACACCAGACCACTCACATATGAACATTGGGTGGTATTCCGGTAGCGCGTACGTAGTTAGTTCACACTTTTATGGAGTGCCTGTTGCAAACTAATTTACCCTGTACAGATTATTTTAATCCTCCAATGAAAAGTGTCCAAAAAATTAATTTTGCAATGAAATGGGAAGAAAAAGATAATATGAGTATGAACTGAATTTCAACAAAGTCTTTGGTAGATTATCTTTGTCATGAATATTGAAGGAGGAAGGTGAAACCTAGCATTCCATAAAAGTGTGAACTAAAATTCTTGTTTAGTCTAGACTTAGTCCCGGCTTAACTTATGAGAATACCACCCATGATCTTTGGAACAATAGTTGAATTCTGAAAGAATGACCATTTTGACCCAACACCTACACATGTAAATGTTATTCCTATGCCTTTAGTTGTTAATTGCTATTATCATTGTTTGTCTAAGTCTTCTTTGTCTTATCTGGATTAAAAAACATATAATCTTTCCCTTAAGCAGACATAAATGTCCATTAATACCTATCATAGATACAGAGATGTCTTGTTGATTTTTACATTATGAAGGAAAAAATATTAGATTGACGTTATGCAACCAAGGGAACTTTCAGTTCATGTTCTTTACAGACCAGTGTCTTACAAAAGACACTGATCCTTGATGCAGCCATTTCATTTTGGACCTGAGATCATCAGCTTAAAAGTGGTTTTATCTTTCAATAATCACACAAACTCGACTTAAAATTTATTCATAATTTGTGTACTTAATTCATGCTTAGTTTGATATTTCACTTTTTTATCACCTTCTTTCAAATTGTCCTTTTCATTTTTTGTTTGAATACAGAATTTACTCCAAGGAAGCTGTCAAGACTGACCACAAGAGTGACCCCAAGAGTGACCCATGTTTAGCAGGCGAGAGCAATGCGGTCGAAGGAGACCCAGTTCCTGAGAAAACTCCAGTGAGTGTCATCACAGATGAAGAACCTCCTAGTACCAATCAAAGAACAAAGAGAAAAGCAACTAAAAAGCCCTTATCGGATGCAAAGTCTGATGGAAACCCAGTTCCTGAGAAATCTGTGAGTGATGTCAAGGATGACCAAGAACCTCCTAAAATTGATCATGGTGGACCAACAGAAGCCCCAAAGACAAAGAGAAAAGCAACTCGAAAAACATTGTCAGATGCAAAGTCTAATGAAGACCTACATGTAGGTCCTGAGAAAGCTCCTGTGAGTGATGGCCAAGATGGTCAAAAACCTTCTAGTGCTGATCAGGGAAAAGCAACAAAGGCACCAAGGACAAAGAGGAAAGCAGTCCAAAAAAAATACCAAGATGGAAAGTCTGATGGCAACCCAGTTCCTGAGAAATCTGTGAGTGACATCAAAGATGACCAGGAGCCTCCTAAAACTGATCAGGGTGGATCAACAGAAGCCCCAAAGACAAAGAGGAAAGCAACTCGGAAAACAATTTCAGATGCAAAGTCTAATGGAGACCCAAATCCTGAGAAAGCTCCAACGAGCGATGGCCAAGATGATCAAAAAACTTCTAGTGCTGATCAGGGAAAAGCAACAAAGGCACCAAGGTCAAAGAGGAAAGTAGTCCAAAAACCCATCTCAGATGGAAAGTCTGATGGAAACCCAGTTCCTGAGAAAGCTCCTGTGAGCAATGTCAAAGATGACCAAGAACCTTCTAAAACTGATCATGATGGACCAACGGAAGCCCCAAAGACAAAGAGGAAAGCGATTCATAAGACTGCAAAGTCTGATGATACATCAAGGAAAAAAGAAACTGAAGAAACACCAAGTAGTGATTGTGATAATTCTTCTCCAGCCAAAGATAGTAAAGCTGAAAGCCTAGTCCCGTCAAAGAGTCAATCAAAAAGGCTTACCAAGCAAAGGCAACCTGTACAGAAAGCTCTTGGGAAACCAATCAACAATAGAAACGCTAAAGGCCCTCAGAAAAGAAAGATAAAAGAAAGCCTGCCAACTCTAAAGAAGAAAAAGACCAGTGAAAAGGTTGAAGAAGAGACAAATGAAAAGATGGAAGAAGAGACAAATAAAAAGGTGGAAGAAAAGACACATGAAAAGGTGGAAGAAGAGACAAATGAAAAGGTGGAAGCAGAGACAAATGAGGATGAAGAAGCTGATTCAGACTTGTCTCTTGATTCCAAGTTAAGCAGGTGTTCTGTGAGGTTGTCTTCAATAGACGAGGAAGAGCTAACCAAGATTGGAAAACCGAAAGAAAACAAAGCCTCACCCTCAAGAGCAGAACAGAGAAAGGTGAGAAACTGTACTTTGTCTGAAGTTAAATCACACCTATTGAAAGTGTTTTATTTTTTGTAATGTATCACCACATAACCGGGACTATTTATCTGGCAAGAGCCATAAAGGCATTAACTTATGATTTTATGTTATGCAGAGTTACCCTCTTGGCCCTTAGCAGGAGGTTTGTCACTTCTTGAAAGTATGATCATAATTTGGTAGTTTGAACATGAACACTTCCTTTTGCCATGTTTCTTGATTAAGAAATTGGCACACTACCAAAATTGCATGTTTTGATTTTGAAAAGCTTATTGAGCAGCCTGTTTTAATGTTGTAACTTTCTGGTCATTCCCATTCATTTTTTTTTCATATTGCATTGTTTTCAAATTCATCTCTCTGTAGATTTCAAAGTCGAAGCAAAACAAGTCACCAAGAGAGATGAGGGCGTTTGCTCGAGCTAAGGCTACAGCTAAGGCAGCTCAAATTCATCGATGCTCAGCATGCTCAAAGACATTCTCCAACAAGGCAAACCTTAAGAGGCACAGTGAATTGCATTCTTCAATCCGCTTTACCTGTCAGGAATGTGGGAGGTCATGCAAGTCCAGGGCTCAGCTCTGGGCCCATAATCGGAGAGTTCATGTCCAGAAGTATGAGTGCCAACATTGCCAGAAGAAGTTTGGACTGGCAAGTCTGCTTGCAAAACATGAAAGGTGCCATACTAAGGAGAAACCATTTGAGTGCAAGGAGTGCCAGAAGTCCTTTGCCAGCCTTCAGATGCTGAATGATCATGCGGAATGTCACAATGTTGAGGAACCCTACCTGTGTCATTTATGTGGTATGGCCTTCAAGAGGCGTGATGTCTTGAATCATCATGTCCGAAAGACGCATGAGTCAAGTGAGATCTATAAGTGTGAGCTGTGTAACAAGAGCTATAAACTTAGGGAGTCCCTCACAAACCACATGGAGTTTCACAAGAATACTGCAGAAGGAACTTCGCCTTACACATGCCCTATTTGTAATAAGTTGTTCAAGACAAGCAAAGGCTTAAAGGGACATGTCGGCCGTCATAATAAAAATGAGTCATTCCAGTGTGATGTTTGTAAAAAAGAGTTCAGTTGCAAGAATCATCTTCTAAGACACCAGATAGTTCACAGTGAAACTAAGCCCTACCATTGTCCAGAGTGTAATCGTGGTTTCACACAGAGCTCTAACATGGAGACGCACAGACGCATCCACTCAGGAGATAAGCCTTTTACATGTGATTTGTGTGGAGAGACTTTCAGACAGAATGTCACGCTGAAGACTCACAAGCAAAAGGCTCATGAAATCAACGTCTGGGATGAGAAACCAACACCTTCCCATGTTGGTAGGCCAACTGCAACAAAGACTGCAGAAAGCAAGAGCAAGAAACCAAGGGGCAAGAAGGGTGCTGGCAAAAAGTCACAAATAGTTCTTCCAGAACCTCTGACAGTACAACAAGTGTTCCCACAGGAGCCACAAAATCAGCAGTCTTCAGAGAATAAATGTTCAGCATCACAAGAGATATCTCATCTTAACGAACAAAGTGAAAGGATGCAAACTGAAGAGAAACAAGCGAAAAATCCTGAGAACACAAATGTTCAACATCAAGTTAATGAAAGTGGAGACCAATCACTAGAATATCAACAAGGTGAGAGCCAGGCACAGCCCAGTAATCAAGAATCACAGCCACAAGTAGAAGAGCAACCCCAGGAACAACCTCCTGCTGATCCTCTGACATCACATCATCAACAAGATGCAGAGCAAAAACAACAACATCATGTAAACCAACAGCAACCTCAAACAGAACCACATCAGCAACATCAGTCAGGCCAGCAGCAACAACAAACAGACCAACAGCCTCAAGAACAACCACATCAAGAGAGACCACATCAAGAAAGTCAGAATCACTATATTCAGCTGCAACGGCCAAATCCTGTGCACCAACCACCTCAAGCTCAACAACCAGCAGATCAGTATCAGCAGGCAAAAGAGCAACAACTCAAAGATGACACCAGAACTAATCAGGATAATCAACAAGCACACCAACAACAGCAACAGCAACAGTCATATCAACAAGGAAACTTTGGTAAGGTCATCCAGCAGTATCATCCTCCAGCGCTGCAACACCAGCAACCTCAACCATTGCAATATCAACAACCGCAACTGCCACAACATCATCAATACCAACAGAAGGACTTTGTTGCTGTACAAGAAAGAAACAACGGGCCATTCTCAAATGAAATGAGATCATACCAACGTGAAAGCATAACCACTTCAAACTATTACTCACACTATATGCAGTCTAGCAAAATATCCTCAGGGTGGGCGCCGTCACTTCCTGCTCCGCCTTCCCAGCCTGTCAATCCTCCTCCACCCTTAAACAGAAACAATGATCCTACTACATCTCATCATATGCCAATGCCTCTCATGCAGAACAACTCACCGACATCACACCGATCAACTCCAGGCTCTAACACCCATCACCATCTTCAGGCTCTCCTAGATATGGAATCTAATATTGGTAACGGTGCACCTAGCAGGCAACCTCCTGTTTCATCGGTGGGTGGTACAATTCAAAGTCCCCCTCCCACACCCATTCAACATTCCCGGTCTAGCCCCTCCCCTTCACCTCACGAATCATCAAGACCTTCCTCTAAAGGCCCTCAGTTTCAGACCTTGTTCCATTCGCCCCAGGCCAGTCCACTTTCATCAACCTTTCCATCAAATCATTTGAATTTACGTCCTCCTCTAAACAATACCATACCTTCCAATTACCCCATCCCATGCCCCTCTCCCAGACCTCTTAGCCCTTTTTACGCACCAACAGGTGCTCCTTATCAAGGAGCAACGCGTGAAATGATTAGTTCTCAAACTCAAGAACAAGACCATGCTCATTCAGCATCTCCCTTGAGGCAATGGTATATGGGACCACCAGATACCGGTAATCAGCAAGCTGCTCTAGCCCTCGCCAGTATGCACTACCCAAGTCCAATGGGAGCACAGCCCCAGCCTAGGATTCCATATATGGGGTACTCTAATGCCCCCATGCCATTCTCTTTATCTGGTAACCCTACCCCTCCAACTCAGCAGAGGTGGGGTCATTAACATTGTTAGATACAAGTTTCAGGCAACTCAATATTTGATGTGTGAATTTTAGTCTCCAGAGCAAAACATGGAGAGGGGCGTTGTGACTGATATATCGTGGTTGATTTGGATACCACTTTGGAGTTCTAGGAGATCTTGTAATCTTTATGCACAACATTGCAATTTGCAAGTGGATTATTTGTGATGTTGGTACTGTAAAATGACACAAACATGGATAGTACCTACATTGTACGATTGTATCTACAGACACACTGTGTAGAAACATGTATATTGTGATATTGTTATAAATGAACATACAAAACTGTTCTGCTTCAAATTACATGGGCCTATAGTATAGAGTACCGAAGTGTGACTTCATATTAGCCAGGTTGTCAACGTTACCGGTTCCAAACAATTTTGTGCTAAACAGTGGCGTAGAAATCACACCAGTGCCAAATATAGACTTTGCCCTTCTCCTTCCCATAGCTTGAGTGATGTTGCAGTGAACCTCATGCGCAAGCTCTGTTGTTTGGAACCAGTAACCGAGACGACGAGTACATACGACGTCAGCACTTCGGTACTTTATAATTATGTGCTAATACAGTATCTTCACATCTGTTGTAAAGTAAATACAGAGAACCCTGCCACTCCGTATATTGTGGAAGAACAAATAACGGCTCAAAAATAAGAAAAAAATGAATATAGCATTCTTTCAAGTACTAGCACTTTATTATCTGCCGCACTTGACAGTCATTTTGTAGTTCATTTAGCAATAGAATATCACTTTCATCAGGATTTCTTTCTTTCAGCTTTTATGCCTGTAAATATTAAGTATTGAATGTTAGTTTCATTACAATGTTATTGTGTGAATAACTTTGATTTATTTTTAGGTATTTGCAGTAATAAGTATTTCGAAAGATTTATATTTGTTACCTTTTGCATAATCTGTTTTATGAAAATGCATCGACCAGTCTATCGCATGGTTGTCATTTTATTTCTCTGTGTTTTGTAGAAAATTTACCAACTTCTGTTGCAATTTTATGTCGATTTGCCAAAACAGACTTCCAAAAAAATCAAGGATCTTCGCCACCCTGATCTTTGCTGCAATTATCTACAAAAAGTACATTTTTTTTAAGGAGAAATGTGTATTTCTGTATATTTTTCTCATTTGCTGCCCAAAACAATAACACCTGCTTTCACATCATATTATTGGTTGTTTTTTTTAAGACTAAAATGTATCCGTAACTGGACAGGGGTAGAAATCTTCACTTATTTTGTCATAAATATAAAGAAATTTTCAATCATATCCTACTTCTGTTAAAAATATGCATATACCGTTAGGTTTGCCACATACACATAGCAAAAAAAGAGAAGCATGTGTATTTTATTTCATAAATTTTATACTGTGTAGGCTAGTTTACACAGTTTCATCATACCTTGATTTTTTTTTAAACAATCATTTGTCTATGATATCCTGACAGTTTGGTGTTCAACTTTCAGTTTTAGTATCTCAGAGTGCTGGACAATATTACAGGTGTAATAAACACCTGTAAATATAAAAAGCTATAATTTTGAATTGATTTGATGAAATGTTTTATAAAAGTTTTTTTTTTGTATCGAACAAAAAAGGTTACCGTACGTGAAGGGGAAAATAAAGTAAAAGGAAATACCTCTTGAGGAATTACATGTAAAGGTACTCATGTAGATGTAGAAATGTGATCCAAAGTTTTGGTGTATGTAAATAAAGTGTAATTAGACCATTTATAAATGTTTGGACATTGAATGAAATTATATGTAAATGATTACATATGCTATTGAATGTATAAGTTTTTGTGCATCTACCACTGGCTTTGAAAGGGGATATCAGAATATACTACCAGCACTAGAATAATCTTGTCTGCAAGTTGCAAATGATGGTATTGTGGCTTTGTTGATGGTTATATTTTTTTAACCCCATTGAAGGAGAATTAGCCAATCATTATTTAATACATGTATAAAACAAGAAACTTTCAAGTTTATGAGCAACTCTGATTGGTGTAATGGTTATGCCACAAAATAATTTAATTTCGACTGACACGACACAAGATTTCGCAAGTTTTTATAGTTTCTTGCCATGACAACTGTATTTTTACAAATCATGAATGTTTCATGCCAAAAAAGTGTGTAATTTTATGGTACATGTATATCAGGCAAATAGCTCTTTGTTCAGAAATTCCAAACAACTTTGGAAGCATTTTAGCTTCTCTGATGTCTGGTTATGGCTGCTATATTATCATGCATTTTAAGCTGTATGTGTAGATTTATGATTGCGTTTATTCACTGTCTAACTCTTTAACATCCAAATGCCTACTTGTTTTGTACTAATGCTTTGTACACACTTTGTAGTACTGCATGGATCAAGCGAGAAATTATGCGATATACATGTAAATATTAGCCAGTATTGTAGCCAACTGGCTGTATTGAAAAAATGACAGATACTGCATTATGCCAGGTGACAATCAAAGATAATAAGTTAGGCAAACAAAATGCTCAGATGGATTTTTCTTTCCATTGTCCGTCAGAGGCAGTTGAATTCATGATATTGCTCTTTTAAGAAAATATTTGTGTAAATACTTGAATCCTGGGGTTGACACAATGTTTTTTATATATTTATGCGAAACTTATATTTCAAGGCAATTCTTCCCTCAACTCTATGTTCATTACTTTTTACCAACTATTACCATGCGATAATATTTTTATTTCAGTTTTTTAATGTATATGTATATATGTACTGTCGTTGTCATTGTTTTGTATGCCAGAAGTTAACATCTTTTAATACCATGTATGTTTTATTGTGTAAAATATGTTTTGTGACAGTAATATTGTACTTTAGCGTAGGGACCAAAACCTGTCCTTGCCATAAAATAATTGTATATTCACCTAATAAAAGCATATTTAAAGGAAAGGATTTTTTCCCCAAAAAAGTGACAAACTTCACTTTAGTGACGGTCCCAGCCTTAGGAATAAAAATATTTCTTTCATTTTTTTCTTCTTCTCAGAAACTACATTTTGTACAATAACCTTCATCATTTGAACATTTTGTACATTTCTTCTATTTTACACACTATGGTAGTTTCTTAATGCATATGGATAAATATGTGTCCTATAATACATATGTACATGTATTTCCTTATTTATCATTCCCGTTTGTTGGGGAAAAGTAAATTTTAAAGATATTGTTCTAAATCATTAAAGCTTATCTCAGTTAACATAAGAAAAAGAGGATCATGGGGGACCAATGGTCACCGATTAGGCATTGTTTGTTATATAGAGGGCGCAAGTAGCTACAAGTAGTGCAGTGGGCCTTTAAAGGGAAAAAGTTGAATACTTTCACTTTTTCCATTTAAATTTTGTGTACAGGTTTTGGTCCCGTTTTAAATAAATTTGTAGATGTGTTTCTTCATGTAGTATGTACAGTATATTATATAGCATTAATTCAGGGAGAATTTTACTATAAATTTTCAATAAGTTCTGTGAAGTTTTTTTAAAATTGTCCTTGGAACTTGGAAGTAGATGAATAATTCGTTTGAGATGAATTTGTGTTAGAAGTACTATACTGATTGCCTAGTCTGTATTCATCAGATTTAATGATTGTGTGCTAGAGATCAGCGTGTATATGTGTGTGTGTTGTGATTGTGTAACTTTGATAAACCTCTGTAAAGTTGACTTCATGTACATGTAGAGTAAATAAAACAATAATTAACAATCAAATACAAAGCATTGATTTATCTTCTTCTTTTCTTGTTCCCATTGTTCATTATACATAAATCATGGCTAGTTGAGGAAATGTAACTTTCTTGTTCAGTTTGTTGTTGTTGATCTGGCAACTGTTTCGTTGATATGACTGGAATATGAGAGTTATTAACATTAGTTCCTTGTTCCTGATGTATAAGAATAATGATAATATATCCATTTATATAGCACAGCTTCTGCATGAATAAACTCTACTACACTCGATACAAATTCTAATTTCTTGTACTTTGGCTAAATGAGAAACACAACTAAAAAAATACAGTTACGGAGAACACTGTTCGAAACAAACCGTTGTCAGAACAAGGCTATGTTCGCTCTAAAATTCTCTGTTTCCCTCTTTGTCTGATCATTAGAATTAAAAATATATTGTCTTTTTTAGTTTGATCTCTCTCTCTCACTCTAGCTTTCTTCATCTCTCTCTCTTTCTCTCTCTCTAGCTTTCTTTATCTCTCTCTCTAGCTCTCTTTATCTCCCTCTCTCTCTCTCTAGCTCTCTTTATCTCTCTCTCTAGCTTTCTTTATCTCTTTCTAGCTCTCTCTCTCTCTCTCTCTCTCTCACTCTAGCTCTCTCTCTCTCTCTCTCTAGCTCTCTTTATCGCTCTATCTCTCTTTCTCACATCTCTGTCTCTTGCATCTCTTTTCTCTTCAATCCATACTTTACCTCCATCTCTCTGACTCTTTCCATTCTTATCTTCTCTGTTTCCTTTATTTCTTATTTCCCTTTACTTTTCTGTCCCTTAGCTCTGCTTCATCTGTCATTATTAAACATGTATTAAACAATCTACCATTACAGTACATTTGTAATACTTAGAAATAGTCACTCCCAAAAAAGGTGTACAGCAGAAATGCAGACAAATCAAAGTACAATGCACATCAACGATACTTTAATATCAAACGGAATGTGATTTACTATACAAGTCACTCAAAATATTCTTGTTCATACAGTGCTATGTACATCTTCTAATATACATTGAGATTTCACATAAATATTTCAAATTCAGTTACAAAGTTTTTATAACCGACTCCACAAGCCAGATAAACTAGAGCATTGAATACCGATGAGAAAAAATGTAAAGGATAATCAACCAAGTCAATCCTACAGGGAGAATAAACTTCCACCGCCTTGTAGAGTGTTTGACAATTGATGCAAAATAAATAATTTGGGGTGATTCAGGGAATAAGCGAGTTCACGGTTGCAGTCTGAGCATGAGCAGATAAAGGTCATTGCAGAACAAATTTTGAAATACACGGAGGCGATATTCTGGATACGTGCTCATGAAAGTTATGTAACATTATGCATTCATGCACATTCAGTGCACTTCATGATACACAGGTGGAAGTATTCTTTGAAAAGAGGAAACAAATGCTATTTATATAGCCCCTCCATCGCTGTAGGAGTGATTATTTCAAAATGTACAAAGTGAGACCTCTTCATGTTTTGAAGATCTGTGGATATTCGGGGTCATTGCAGTAATGTGCTAACCGTGAACTGGTCTATTGGGTAACAGTGCCACCACCAGCCTGTCAGGTTGATCTGTGTTTTAAACTCTTGTACAATGAATTTAAAAAAAATCTTGTTTCAAACATGAAAGCATTTAGTGTGTAAAATAAAGAAAACAAACCCTATTTTTCTCTTTCTCTATTGCCCATGTCAAAAACAACCTACTTTGAGCAACCACAATCGAATGATGGTTTGAAATGTGAATTGCATCACTGTATCAGTACTCCTGTTGGGATACACAATGCAATAGCATTCAAGTGCATGCATGGCATAAGCCCAAATTAATATGAATAGTCTAATTTTTCAAATGAGAACTTCTACAAAGTCACTTCCAAATCATGGCTTTTAACAAGTTGGCAACCTTTACTGCAAAACAGAATGATTTGTATGACCACTGCAGTAGATTCAGGAAATTGTGAAGTAGTTTTTCTTACATTGGAAATGTTACTGGATGCCTTCATACTTTCAATTAAATAATGAAACAGAAACCTTTGATCTCCATCCTGAGGTTCATATTTCTTGGAGCAATTTAAAAGGCATAGTAAACAGTACCTACACACTAAAGTCATTTCATAATAAGGTATTGGTAACTTTAATATTTGTTGGATTTGTAATTAATATTCATGGACAGAATACTTCATCTGAGCTGGAACATGACAATAAGATATTGGACTTTTCCTCAGTAACCCGTCAGAATACTTGGGATGTCGATGTTCATATACATTTGTTTGCCAATTCCTGCATAATTAATGTTATGTTGGATGATGAAGGTTTTCTTGCATAAATGTACCACAATTGCATTTTATTTTAGGGGGGAGGGGGGGGGGGGGAAGGAGAGAGGAGCATGAGGACACCTTTAGGCCAAATAATTATCCTTCAATTTTTTTTGAAAAAGAGGAATGGGCTTCTTTATCTTCTACTATCTTAGTGTTTATAACAGATGAAAGAAAATGGGTACATAATTATCTACATGTTTCATTTATTTAAAATGAAAATTTTGTCTTGAATAAAATTCTATACATTAATTTCAATGTGGTCTTGTAATCTTTGCCATATCTAACATGAATAATTCCTTCAGTTAAAAAAAAATCCACTTGAGTAATTGTAATCATTGTAATTGGTCTTTACACGCTCTACCTCTTTCCATTGAACAAAATATAACATAATCTGGATACATTTGCAAATAGAACAAATATCTGGATAAACAAGACCATAAAACATCTCAAATTAATGGAATTAATGGTCAACAAAACTTAATTTACAAAAAGAAAAAAATGCCCAATCTTCTAACTACATTGTTTAACTATTGAATATGATATGCTATTTTAATCTAAAGAGACTGATGAAGTAGTATTAAATAAATATTAATTATAATTCATTCTTTTTAATCATATGACAAGTATAATCAATACAAAGAGCTGAACTAGTCTATCATCTGGTGTGTAATCTAAATAAGAAAACCCCTGTTTACGCTCGGCCAATGTCCCTGAGGTCAATACCAGTACATCTTGAAAATACGATTTTAAAAATCGAAATCGCTTGTAAAATACCTAGGGAAGAGTTTACTGGATGAGCTGCCCATCCTTCATTTCAGATTCTGAGGTAGGGATGGTGGTAAAGTTAACAGGAAACGTAACATATTCCACAGTCTGTGTTCCATCTTCAAGCTGTTGTATGTGAACCTCCTGCACATGTTGCTGGACCCCTTCTGCCTCTTGTAGCTGTTGCTGAACTTGTTGCTGCAACTCCTCCATCTGTTGCACGTTCAATTGGTGTGACATGTTTGCCAAGGTCATCACAGCTTGTTGACTGTCCACACTGTCAATGAGCTCACTCGCAACCACTGACTCATCCGCAGAGGTGCTGTAAGCAACATTCTCCTCGACATGGCCGTCATACGCGATCTGGTGGACGGTCAGCTCAATAGGAACCTGACCAGGCAAGAGGCCTTTCTCGCCCCTCATCTGTGATGCTTCCTCTTCTTCTTCCTGCAATTGTAGCTGCATCAGGACTTCTGGAGGCACATTGTCTTGGTTACTGACCTTGAGGGGTAAGGAGCCAGGTCCACGTTTAGGCACTTCAATGGCATGGGCCTTCTTCATGTGGTTCTTCAAGCTGTAGTTTCGCCGGAAAGCAATAGGACACAGCTTGCATTTGTAAGGCTTCTCACCAGTATGAAGTCGTAGATGGGTGAGTAGTGTTGTACGCAGCCCGAACGTCCTGTCACAGTGAGGACAAATGAAAGGTCTCTCTCCTGTGTGAACTATTAAATGCCGCTTGAGATGGTGGCGATGGCTGAACTCACGATCACATGTATGACACTGGAAAACTGATTTATGTGTGTTCATGTGACGCTGTAGCGTAGCAGACACTGTAAACCCTTTCCCACAGAGATGGCATTGATAAGGGCACTTTCCTTCATCAACATTCTTGTGGTGCTCCAAATGGTTTTTTAATGACTCTCGATACTTGTAGCTCTTACCGCACAACTCACACTGGAACTCATGCTCAGTTTTGTGGCATCTCAATATATGCTGCTTTAGGCAGTCCCTGCGTCTGTATGCAGCACCACATTCATGGCACAGGTACGAGCGATTGACGTTATGGCTCTCAACATGTGCCTTCAGTGATGAAGATGTGGTGAAAGCTTTGTCGCAAGTTTTACAGGCAAATGGTTTCTCTCCAGTGTGTGAACGTAAGTGCTGCATCAAGAGATACTTGGTGCCGAACTTCTTGTCACAGTCGCTACAGTCATATTTCTTATCATGAACAAAGCGGAAGTGAGCCTTTAATGCCTCTGTATTCACAAACTCCTTTTCGCACTTTTCGCAGACCTGTACTTTAGAGTCATGGGTAGCTTCATGTATTTTGGCGGCTTCCTTGGTGGGATAACGAAAAGGACATTTGCTGCACTTGAAGCCTCCTTCTTTGCTCTGGCGAACTCGGACTCTCCCGCTGCGACGAGGGCTTATGCTGGTATCTTGAGGCTTTTCTTCAATTTCCTTAAGGGATAGGAATCAACAACATTAAAAAAAGATATTAGGATCAGTAATAGCCCTCATAATTCTTATGTACAGTGACTTTAAAAGTCACATATGAGTGTGAGAATGAATGGGATACAACAGCAGGAAATTGTTGTATCATTATTTGGCTGGAAAACACTTTTTTTCAAAAAGATATTACATGGCCCATAGTGAAATTGAAAGAACCATTATCCTCATCAAGTGTTAAGATCTTGAGAAATTATGAAAATGGAAGAGAAAGATAACAAACCAGATAGCAAGTTGGAATAACCATACAAGCTTAAGAGAACATAAAGATACAGGTCAGCAAAAGGGAGAGAGAGACCGAGACAGATTGAAATAAGACAAAAGTTGTTAAGCGAAAGAAGAAGAAGAAAAAAAAGGAAAAAAAAAGAAGAGAAATAGAAGAGAGATAAGACATTTCCATACCTCCTCTTGAGCACTAGAACTTTCATCAGGTAAGCATTGAGAACTGCTTTCATCTCCTACCATCTCATACTGTTCAGCCTCACTCAGCTCTGTATTACCTATATATACCAATCACAAAACAACATCATTAACATCATAACAGCTACTATAACAATTATTCTGTCAAAGAACCTTAACCTGTCAAAGAAAGCTTTAGAAATATGCAACATGTTTCCATTACTACCATTCCCCCGCCCCCCCCCCCCCCAAAAAAAAATAATAATAATAATGATAATAATAATAATAATAAAATTTAAAAAATATAAAAAAATGGAATAACATAAAATAAAGAAATATATCAAAAATCAAGTTGAAGAAAAAGCATAATTAATCATTGGAAGACATCAGAATAATGTATATATTGATCATATACATACAAATATGCTTCATGTTATAGATCCTAAAATGGTGTAATAATGGAATATTAATTCTAGATTGATATCTCATATATCAGTCATTTGCATTTAACAACCACTTTTTTGTTGTTTTTTGGTACATTTATGCAGGATAGAAATCAGAACCACTAATAGAACTGAGAGTATTGAAGCCAGATGATAATAATGTATCAGATCATATCTATCATGCGGTGGTAGAGCCACACGAAGTGCAAGAGGTGATTTAAGTTTCAGTTCACCCCTACCACAGAAACAGCAGCTTGCAGTCCTGAACCGTTTGTTACTCACCCGCTCCTTCTTTCTCCAAGTCTTCTCTGATAGCTCTAGCTGCGTTGCTGACGATATCTCCAATCCCCTCTCCCTCGATCTCATCATCAGCATCACCTATCTGAATATCTGTAATCTTACTTTCATCAAGGGCAGGGATGCTAGGTCCGCTGTTTTCAATTTTGTCATCAACCCTAAAAATGGAGAAGAAAAAACAAACAAAACAACATGTATCTTTCAGCAATATTTATGGAGGTGGGTAAGAATATTTACAATGTTCAATCAGAACTGACCACTTTTTATCACTTTGGTATACAGCTTCACTCACTTTGGTCTACACCACTGACATTTTGAATTCGTCAGCACTTTCATTACTGACCTAATTTTCTGATTTACAAACCATGGATGTCATCTGTATTAGACGGAATCCTGGAAATTCACAAGATAAATTGTATGAATCCAAAAATTGCTAGTGCTTTTTTGGTGCATCTGCATATCTATCAAATAAGTACATGTAGTAAAAAAAAAAAAAAAGGGAAAAAAGACAGAAATAATTGAAACACAGTAACCCAATATGAAAATACTAGAAATAATGCATCACATTAAAGGTAATGTGTGACTTTTGAAGGGTTGAGCAACAATTTAATTGGGAAAAAGTAATAGCACATATGCATAGAAGGTAATATGTTGTTCAATGTTGTTAAAACTCACCCTAAATACTTCTCAGCTAGCATCAGCATCCATCTAAATGTTTCATTGTTATCTTTGCACTTCGCTTCCACCTTCACGACCTTTAACCTTGGGAGATCCGATGCCTTTACTGTGATGCTATGCTTTTTCTTTCGGCTGGTGTCTGAACGCCTGCCTCCATGACCCATGATGAAGTCTGATAATGGGAAGAAAACAATTCAATTACAATTCTACTTTAGAAATTCAGCCGCAAGCAATTATACTACCACTCACATGCTTTTTCCACTTAAAACGACCACTGAATTTGACAAACCTGGTAGTATCAATTCACATTCAGTTATCATATTCATGTCATGAATCTATTCCAGCAAAGCATACAGTCAATGCTAATGCGTATTGACCTCTAGCACTGCATACTTGCTGAGAGGCAGGTATAACACACAAATACAAACACTACACACTATTGCATATTAATGCACACAATAAAGACAATGTGGATGATCAGCAAATTTGACACTAGACTTACAATTTGAATTTTTAAATTATTCTTTTTAACATCAGTAAGTTGAGAAAAAAATTATATTTTACTGCTATTTAGGTGTCATCAATTGTCACTAAAGTACATATTTCGAGTGAAATCAGTTGAGTTTTGTACAGTGGTGTTTGAAATGTTGAGATTCAATAAAACAGCTTTTTATACAGAGTATTTTCCACTTGACATAACCTGCATCTATGAACAAGGGAAGAGGCACGTTAACACACAACGCAGGCTTCAGTCATCCACCTGGGTGGGATTCGAACCCACGATCTTTGGTTCGACAGGCAGACGCTTTACCGACTGAGCCAACTCGCCTCCTCAATTTTGAACAATTCAACAAGCATGGACGACAGTAGACTATAGTCTCAGAGTAGATTCATAGTTTGATCTTTCTTTTCAAACATTAGAATCTCTAGTCAGATCTATAATGTATGTTAGTAAATAGTAAGTCTATATTTGAGCGTCTGTATCTGTCACTGAAGTACTCAATACGTAATTCGCCTCATATATAATCAGTTCAAAATCATATGGCGGTGTGACCAAAGTTCGCGCGTGACCAAAGTTCGCTTTCTCAAAAAGTCGGTAAGATTTCGAAAATCTGATATCACCAATGGAAAGAGGGTCATAAAATTACCCAGAAACGAAATTTTCTTTAGAATTGGTTGCGAAATTGTGAAAATATTGACAAAAGATCGGCAAATTTTGCAGTTATTTGCGTCCGTTCCGAAAAATTATCAACTTACCGATAAGGGTCTGGAAATCTTCATTTTGAGATCAGAAATCCTCAAAATTGTAAGTAAAGAGTGGTACTAACTGATTGTACGATATCTTGTCTTGCAAATTATGATATTACCTTATTTTTGATGGATCACATTTTTTGATAAATCAACTGTAAACCACCGTGCGTGAAGTTAGGTCTCATTGTTTTTACGACTTTTTTAGATGTAGCGCGCACGCACGATCGGACATCGAATTTTTAGATCGCGATATCTCCGAAATCCTTCTACGGTAAATTTTTCTAGTTGAACCAATCTGTAGTAAAAAACTTTGCCGTCCATTTGGTAATAATTGAAATAAATAAAGTTGTGTAGAATGTGAGAAATCATAGATCGAATATCACATTTTGTAATATGTTCTAAAATGTGCGCGAACTTTGGTCACCCCTTCATATATATATTCTCAAACCATTCTTCAAATACCACTGCCTTTTATTACCACACAAATTCAGGCGTGTGGGACCATAGTGAGATTTTCTGTCCTTTAGCACATCATACCAGACGTATTCAGACAGAAAATGCACAAGAATTTGAATTAAATTAATAACTATGATATTCCTTGTAATTTCAAGATTTTAATATAATAATATTCACAATCCTTACCGATCCCAAACACCAAACAAGAGGCCAACCGTCGTTGTTTTCCACAAACTTGGACGAAACCTTTTTTTAAACGAACGCGGAGGGCGTAAACCGTGCGTTGGCGTTCTATCTAAAAGTTGTACTGAGCGAGGCGGGAAGATAATTATATGATATAGGATTTCTAGAGATAGGTATTCACCGCTTTTGTACGGGGGGGGGGGGGGGGGGGGGGGTACTCACATATTAGGAGATACGGGGGTGTGCCGTTCTAATAGTAATGGGTCACTTTTTCAACAAAAACCCCTAAACATGGGTCCCACTTTTAACAAAAATACTATTAAAAATGGGTCTGTGCACGGCAAACACCCGAGAGAAAAAAAAAACTGACAAAACCCCAACATTTTTTAAAAATGGGTCTTAATTTTCGAGAAAATGACCCCTAATAATGGGTAGGAGTTTCGAGGCTTGAGCGGCACACCCCCGTCCAAACTAAATCTGAGTATCCCCCGGTTTTGTACTCTCCGACCATCACAACCCCCGGGGCCCACCCGATCGACCTACCAATTCCTCCCCCCCCCCCCCCTCAGTAATGTGACTGGATCCACATCATGAATCTCTTTTTTAAACAGCCTCTGATACTATTACTCACTTCTTGCAACTTCACCCGTAGCCATTTCTAAAATCCATGAATCTAGCTTGGCCTAGCCTACATCAACAATAATAGGGACTTTTAGATTTGCACGAAGACAATTAATGTGGATTGCTACGATCGACGTCCTTTTAATGCACTGCCTTGAAAGGACGTCACACGATCAGTCCACGCAAATCTAAAAGTCCCTAATATCACTCTCTTAACACCATTAGTATACCCCCCCCCCCCCCCCATCACACTCCAAACTACCAACAAAGATCACAAGGCATCGCTTTGACATGTCTGAACTGGCATTAATTGATTAAGAACTAACACAAAGTTGATTTGTTTCTTCACATTTTTTATTTGTTGAAGAGTCGTAATGTGTCAGAATATCTTTAAAATACTCATTTTCTTTGACAATGACGTTTTTAAGATTAATCGTATACAGAAATTTTCAATGGAATGATGTTTAATTGACGGATGCAATTTTGATTAAAAACGGTTATGTCCAGCAATGAATGTCAGTGAAGCCGCTAAAGCATGAATAAAGCACAAATGAAGAAGAGGGGCATAATAAGAGTACATTGCATTCATTACAAAAATTCCTATTAAACAGTATTAAAATAGTGACGTATATACGGAGCCCGGGAAGGGACATGGTAAAAATATTTTTATCTCGTTAAAACGAGATAGTATCTCGTTTTAATGAGATAGTATCTCGTTTTAATGAGATAGTATCTCGTTTTAATGAGAAAGTATCTCGTTTTAATGAGATAGTATCTCGTTTTAATGAGATAGTATCTCGTTTTAATGAGATAGTATCTCGTTAAAACGACATAGTATCTCGTTAAAACGAGATAGTTATCTCGTTTTAATGAGATACTATCTCGTTTTAACGAGATAGTATCTCGTTTTAACGAGATAGTATCTCGTTTTAATGAGATAGTATCTCGTTAAAACGACATAGTATCTCGTTAAAACGAGATAGTTATCTCGTTTTAATGAGATAGTATCTCGTTAAAACGACATAGTATCTCGTTTTAATGAGATAGTATCTCGTTTTAATGAGATAGTATCTCGTATAAGTCCATTGCATACTGGAACCGGGTGGTCCCTGTATTAAGCGGTTCTAGGACAATTACCCCCTGGGCAATCACCCCCCGGAAATTTACCCCCCGGAAAACTACCCCCGAAGGACAATTACCCCCCGGAAAATTACCCCCCGGAGAATAACCACCCGAGGACAACTACCCCCCAAGGACAATAACCCCCCGGAAAATTACCCCCCGGAGAATTACCCCCCGAGGACAACTACCCCCCGAGGACAATTACCCCCCGGAAAATTACCCCCCGGACAACTACCCCCCGAGGACAATTACCCCCCGAGGACAACTACCCCCGAGGACAATTACCCCCCGAGGACAATTCCCCCCAAGTACAACTACCCCCCTCTTCCGAGGACAACTATCACCGATGACAATCACCCCCGAGGAATTTGTAACACTGTGACAAATAATGCGAGCTTCTCTCCAAATTGCTCTTTATAGAAAATTTCATAAACTTTCAATTTCTATGTTATTTGTGAAGTTCATTTCAGTGTTTTCAAGTTATTCACTTCGATGTGGGGGGGGGGGGGGGGGGGGGGGGGGAGTTGCCCAATTCTCCCGAAGTTTTGCTACCGAGTAAATAACAGAAATTACATTTTTTAAAGAAATTCAATAATACATTGCGCGCAGATGAGTACGCCTTACAGCCTCTCTCACCAACAAAATGGCAAAACAAAGAAATTAGGATGTAATATTTCATTTACGCATCCTCTGTCACTTTTTAAGCTGATCGTGTATTTGTCTTTGTATAATGGGCCCTCGACCATGATCCGAAATTAAGGTTTTCTTCACGTTATCTATATATTTCTGTTATCTATATATTTATGTTGTCATGCGGGAGTATGATATGCGCAGGTCGAGGGTTCGAATCACGACACCGGCACTAATATCCTTTTTCAAGATATTAACCTGCACTTGCTACTCTCCACCCAGGTGTTAAATGGGTACCCGGTAGTATGCGACCGTCATTGTTGGTCCCTCCGTGGTTGGGGGGGGGGGGGGTGATAGGTGCCAAAATAATTTCGGCAATGGATAAAAGCAACCAAGAGGTAGAAGTGTGTGGCAGGTTGCACCCCCTCCCTTACAAGTTATTAATTTTTTCAAGTCACCCTCAATAAAGATAACATTTCAGAGAATATGGGACCCATGTGGGCTTGCAACTTGGGTTATTATCCTCTCAAGCGCGTAGCAAGGATTTTATTTTAGGGGGGCGGTAGTGAGCACGCGAAGCGCGCTCCCTAAAGGGGGTGGCTGCAGGGAGGGGGGGTTTCCCCGTCCCACGCGAAGCGCGGAAGCTTTGAAGTTTCATTTAATTATTAGAGAAAGAAGACGATTCGTTGTACCGTTCTCGACTCTTAATCCTTGTCTAAATTCAATTTCTTTTGACCTTTAATTAAATTATTAGAGAAAGAAGACGATTCGTTGTACCGTTTTCGACTCTTAATCCTTGTTTGAATAAAGTTCCCCTTCCTCCGCGCGTAGCGCGGAAGCTCTGACATTTCATTAAATTGATAAAGAAAGAAGACGATTTGTTGTACCATTCTCGACTCTTAATCCTTGTCTAAATTCAGTTCCCCAACCCCCCCCCCCCTCCCGCGCGAAACTTCGACGTTTCATTACATCATAAGAGAAAGATGACGATTCGTTGTACCGTTCTTGACTCTTAATCTTTTTTCTTCCTACGTCCTCTTCCTTTTTTCTTTCTCTCTCTCTCTCTTTTTTTGGCCGGCGTTTTTTACGCGCGCCTGTATACGCGCCTGTATCCTCTCTGTCTCTCCCACTCTCTACTTCTTTTTTGCACTTTTGCGCTTCGCGCTTGATATTTAGCTCGTTGCTTTTTAACGCTGCGGCTTTGCATTTGGCGCACTGCATTTATATGATGCTGTTGATTGAATAAATTGATCAATTCCTGATGAAGCCGTATGAGCGAGAATTCAATTTATTCTTGTTTCATATACGGATGTCTCATTTACGTATGTATTATGAAAATGAGATTGCAAAATGTGTATACTGATGGTCATCTTGCGAGTAATAACCATTAACTACTCTCATCGGGCTCTCATCATTAATGTTTCTCTTCATTTTTTTTGTATGGTGAATTGTTGGGGGGGGATGATTGGACAGGCCACCCCCCCCCCCCACCTGAAATATTTTTTTGGGGGGATATATCCCCCCCATCCCCCCCCCCCCCCCGGGATCGACACCCATGAACATAGCACTTGGCGAGTGCCTGAGTCATGCAAAATAGATAGTCTGTGAAGAATTTGGGATTTGGGAGAAACTTTTCATTTTTTAAGAGGGTACCATGACTCAAAAAGTTGAAATAACGCTGCTCAAGAGAAATGTATTTCTATGCATTTTGAGAAGCGCTTGACAATTACCTAAAACTTACATCCTTCGTGGAAATCAGCAGCCGCACTGCCGTTGTATAACTTATATGTATTAAAGGGAAATGTTTAGTAACGAGGAAGACAACGTGCTAGTATTTGAGCGAATATGGGTTCATGAAGGGGGTCTTATAGGCTCGTAGCCATCTCTCAATGTATCAGATCGTCTTTTGCTATTGAATCCTGATTGTCCACGGGGATAGTTGTCCTCGGGGGTAATTGTCCTCGGGGGTAGTTGTCCTCGGGGGGTAATTGTCCTCGGGGGTAGTTGTCCTCGGGGGGTAATTGTCCTCGGGGGGTAGTTGTCCTCGGGGGGTAGTTGTCCGGGGGGTAATTTTCCGGGGGGTAATTGTCCTCGGGGGGTAGTTGTCCTCGGGGGGTAATTCTCCGGGGGGTAATTTTCCGGGGGTTATTGTCCTTGGGGGGTAGTTGTCCTCGGGTGGTTATTCTCCGGGGGGTAATTTTCCGGGGGGGTAATTGTCCTTCGGGGGTAGTTTTCCGGGGGGTAAATTTCCGGGGGGTGATTGCCCAGGGGGTAATTGTCCTAGAACCGCTTAATACAGGGACCACCCGGTTCCAGTATGCAATGGACTTATACGAGATACTATCTCATTAAAACGAGATACTATCTCATTAAAACGAGATACTATGTCGTTTTAACGAGATACTATCTCATTAAAACGAGATAACTATCTCGTTTTAACGAGATACTATGTCGTTTTAACGAGATACTATCTCATTAAAACGAGATACTATCTCGTTAAAACGAGATACTATCTCGTTAAAACGAGATACTATCTCGTTAAAACGAGATACTATCTCGTTAAAACGAGATACTATCTCGTTAAAACGAGATAGTATCTCATTAAAACGAGATAACTATCTCGTTTTAACGAGATACTATGTCGTTTTAACGAGATAGTATCTCGTTAAAACGAGATACTATCTCATTAAAACGAGATACTATCTCATTAAAACGAGATACTTTCTCATTAAAACGAGATACTATCTCATTAAAACGAGATACTATCTCATTAAAACGAGATAACTATCTCGTTTTAACGAGATAAAAATATTTTTACCATGTCCCTTCCCGGGCTCCGTACGTATATTATAGAACTAAAAAAAAAAGATAATAAGTATAAACTTTGTCATGCTTGCCAGAATTTATTAGAAATAAATAGTGATTCATAGTAAAATATAACACAAACATAGTGTAGGTCGATTAGCTTTTAATTTTTGATATACAGATACCATAAAGACGGACAAGAGGATTGACATTTTAAAAAATGACAGCTTACCATGACGACAAGAAATAGACTTCATTAAAATTAAAAGGATTAATCAATAAATTCACGATTCAATGTGGATTGATGAGACATCTCTATTTTGAAATTAAACGCATAACACCGTGTTTGTTAAGGAATTTCTTTATTTTGAGGCCACTTTAATTAACACGTATGTACTCGCTTAGTATATAGGTCTTTACGGTAGAATAATGATTATGCCATAATTTCCTTGATTTTCAAGTACAAGCATCTCAAACTAGAATTAAAAACCTACCTAATGGAAAAGGCATATTCTACCTAGCTCTTAAATTGTTACCTAGTTCTTAAATTGTTACCTAGTTCTTATATTGTTACCTTACCTTGTTATCTTATGTTTCATAATTTCAATTTCATTCATTTGTTTTCTTGTCATTACTCTGGTAAGTTTTAATTGTATCAATATTGTAAAGCGCTTTGATATAAATGTTTTATGAAAAGCGCTATATAAGTAAAAGTTATTATTATTATTATTATCATGTCCACAATTACATTGTATATGGCAATATTTCAATACTTTAATTACAAAATGAGTGAAAGGAAGATTATGTTTCTTTTTGGAATGGGTATTTTTGCCCAAAATGTTGTTTACAGCTGGTCAGAAAATATTTCTTGATTTACAAGAAAACTCCTCTTTGCCGACTTACAGACCAGTACTGTGACTTGGAAACTATTATTTTGGGTTGTTAATGATATCTATTGTGTTTTATGATGAAGATGACGTAATCTTTAGAATGAAGGTTGATCACAGTAACAATCTTGAGGGCAGTCCAACCACTCATGCTCAGTACACAGGTTACAATAACGACTACAGTAGAACTCCAGCTCTGATAAAAAAAAATAGAAAATAGAAACAAAGTTTAACTATTGATTTTATGAGATTTAAAAAAAAAACCTTATCCGTTATAAAAAAAAATCAAATAGAAGATATAAAATAGTTATCTTTTTCTCAATGACAGACAAAATGAATCTCATTGGAAAACTTGCGCATCTCAAAACTGCAAGGAATGTTATCTTTAGACTTGGTGAAACAAAGTCTGTTTGCCAAAAGTTTATTTTATGGATTCGGATCGATATCATAAACAATGAAAATTAAATGCAACCTTTTCTATTATTTTCTACATAAGTCTGTCAATGTCATAATTTAAGTAATTTTTTTCTCAATATGTCAACTTCTCGATCTGTTATCGTGTTTTGTTTTGTTTTTACATACAGCTATACAAAACATTCACATTAACTTACAGAGTGCCATTGTAATTAATAATGAGAGCGCTGCAGACAGCAGCCGCAAGAAGGCCGTTAATTGCTACCATATCAATTCTACCGTTGACAATACATTGCTAATAGAACCTTATTGCGGGTAGCCGACTTGTTACTCCTCCTTGAACTAATATATTTTCTCTTCATCATATTATTTCTAAGCCTTCAAAGCTATAAGGTAGATCAATATAACTTACCTGGCTTTCGCTTGCATTTGCATGTAGCACATCCGAACTCATCAGCTTGGTAACCATGGGGACAATCATTCATACATCGAATGGCAGGGCACTCAAGAAGGTTCCTGTCTGTGAGAAAATATTAATTTTTGCTACTTTGAATTCCGATAATAAGAATGAAATGTATCGTCATGGTCAAAATATAACAGTATTGAATACAATTATACAGCAAAATCATACATTAATATGATATTGATATTGGCGTTTAAATAATAATTCATGGTATGCATGCATTGATTCACAATAATGATGTTATAGAGAAATTGATCTATCAATGTTTATGCAATGTCCATATCACCGTGGTCAAAATAGTCTCTTCTCCTAACTTCCCACCCATTCAATCATTGTAGTTTTTATCCTTCTTCTATTATATAAACTTTGCAACACAATTTGTTCTTTATCCATATATAAATATTATTCTAAATTGAGAGATATGAAGTATAATAATAATAAATAATAATTATCCTTGCTTATATAGCGCCTAACACTTACCTTATTAGGAGTCTCTAAGCGCTCTACAATAATGCAACGTAATTAATGAACTGCTACCCCTTGTTATTCAAAGAGAATATAAACTTAGTTTTCCCACGGATGATATTTATGAAACACGATTTCTCTATACTCTTTCATATTCCTTTCACTTCATCATATACAGTATTTAGTCTATTAAATGACTGAAGCGCAATATAGATTTTATTTCATGTATAACAAAAAAACACACAATACTTACTGCAGCTAGAGCAAGCCCAATATCCCTTGATGCAGGCGCTATATATAAACATTAAAAAAAAAAGATAAAGAAAAGGAAGATATAGCATGGATAATTATGCAACAATAATGTCATATTACAAGGTACGGATTGATTTTCCCTTGTTAAACATGTTGAGTTGGGGTTTCTGTCATATTGATACAAATTTCATTTCTAAAGAATGACTGTTCTCCTTTCTTATCAAGGTTTGGTGCTCTTTCATGGTTCTGTGATCTCATCATAATGTTCCAGCTATAAGTTAGACTTGTTGAACATATCAAACAATCTAGATAGATTTAATCTCATTCAATTAATCTTCACATAGTTTTACAATGAATGATGCAATCTCTCGTCTAAAAGGTTGCAGTTTAATCTAATGCAAGTCCCAAACAAATCCCAGTCCAAATATGAGATTCTGATTTGGCCAATATTCGTTTGATCTATAAGAATGTGTTATTTCTCAGTTACTACCTATATACTAAAACGACGCCATTATACTTGATATACCGAGCAATTTTAAAGAATTAAGGGTAATGAAATTTATATTCGGTCTGTTTTGGTATCGGTCTCGTCGGTACCACTATGATATTTAATCGCAAGAGAAAAGGACAGAGAGAGAGGGGGAGCGACATAGAGACAGACATGCAGAGATAAATAGACATACAGAGAGACACTGAGAGACATACAGATACAAAGAGACACACAGGCAGACAGCTAGAGAAAGGAGAGAGAGAGAGAGAGAGAGAGAGAGGGAGAGATGAAGACAGAGAGAGAGAGAGAGAGAGAGAGAGAGAGAGAGAGAGAAAAGAGACAGGGATGGGGATATACAGAGAGACAGATAGATGAAAGAGAGAGAGGGAGAGACAGAGGCAGATATATCAGTGGTATTGTTACCATCCTCCACATGGCTGATCTGATTCCTTCTGTTCTCCGTCTCGGTACCATCTACCTTCATCAGGCTCGTAACATCCACGACCAGCCTCTAAATAATACAACAGATGATGCATGGTGAGATCATTATTTGTGATAGGCCTACCATTTAAAAAGAACATTAATTCGTGATATCGGATTATCAATATTTTGTGGTATTATTGTACATGATCATTTTGTGATAACTATTATGCTACAGAACAGACAACAATTTCTACGCCACAAAATGATTAATAATTAACACTAAGGGACGTCATACCTGGAAATGTGGGATGGGGCAATGAATATGTTTTTCTCATGTTTGGTATATCCTCCCAAGAGTTTTTGATAAGACCTTAGCTATCATTTAACTTGTTATAATATTTATATTTTATGTTGCTTGCCAACCCTCTTTGGGCTTACACCACTGAGAAAAAGACTTACGCCTGAATGTTGTTTCAGAGAAAAAACAAAATAAAAAATAAGATGATAAAAAACTTGGAAATTAAACATACCTTTTAGATGAAACTAATATCTGCATATTGAAGGAAAAAAAATGATATAAAAATGAGCAGAAGTAGAAAGAAAAAAGAGAATCTATCAACCTTAAATCATACCTTCGCAGTATTTTCTGCACTCGGCTTTGGATTCGAAGTTGTTCGGATTTCCTCGGCATCCTCCGTAAGAGAACGGAACGCATTTGCCCTGATCAGTGTTAAAAGCCCAGCGGTCGACATAGTCTGTGCAAGGCCCTTTCTTCGCCTTTAATTCACAAGCATCTTAAAGAGAGAATCAAAGAAAACAAGTTGTCAGTCAGGTTCATCATACTCCAATGAAATTTAGCAACAGAAAACTAAAATTGCCGAAGATTTGTCCGGACGTAATCAATCGATTGTTGAGTTGAGTTGAGTTTCTTTTATTTCACATAAAGAAAAAAAACATTGACAAAACATGGCATAATTACAGAAACTGATATTCGTCAACAATAAAGACATCTACACAGCATAAGTTTGTATTGCATTTACACTAAATTATTTCATAATTACATGTGAAAAAAGAAACTTAATAAAAAGCATATTGTAGAATTTAAGTTCTCCAATGAGGCTCTTTTATTTTCTGTCGTTTCTAGCAAGCGATTAATTAAACATTCATGTGATTTACTCCTCTTATGAATCTTATATATTTTCGGATCCCTATTAAGAAGCTTGTTATCATGTGCCAACATGGTAATGATATTAAAATGTTCTTATGAAAGGTCTGAAAGACGGATGACGTCATCGTAAGAAACACTGAGAATGTTTTGCGATGTAAATCACCGATCCTTGAAGGACGTAAGCATGCATCTTAGGCGAGACGGGGGTGGATTAAATCTAATGGGAACGGTTAGTCATTCATCTTTCCCATATTTTCATGAAGTGATAATTTATAGAAATCATCAGTGCCGCATGAAAGACAACGTTTCTTCAACACGTTTTAATTAAATGACTCACTCGTCCATTATGAATGAGACTGAAAAAAAAAGAAACATACGGAGATTTGCTTGGTAAGACAGTCGGAGACAGAAGGAGACAAAACTTTTTGGGGTAGGCCTAGTTTTTTTTCCCCAGCACAATATTCGTTCTTATACAGTGAATAATCACAGAGATATAGGATTAGTAATCATATAGATTGCACTTTACACACTGGGTGTAGTCCTTTTTTAGGGGGGGGGGGATTTGGCAACTATGCACAGTGTGTGTGTGGATGAATCCTAAGACCGGGTTAATGATATTATTTGTAAAGCTCTTGGAAACGGTATGCTATATTAAGCTATATTATGCTATATTATCATATTATCATAAACCTGAAAAAAGCACAAAAAACATAAAGAAACAATAAAAACACTGCATGCCAGACAGTTTTGAGCTTGTTTTGAGTTTTAGTTTCCTTTTGAAAATTATTGTGTTTAAACGAACATTTCTGGGTAGCTAACATTTTTGGTCTTTTCTTTATTTAAAAAAATTATATATCTTTCCTCAAGAAAAATGAATTATAAGTCACATACCAAGCTTGAACATTCAACGTTTTAAATCGACTTTTGATTTCCTACTCAAGTTTTATATTTTCCTGAAAAGAGGATGTCTATAACAATAATAATTACATTACAGGGCGCTTTATACAGGTGTTTCTAAGCGCCCAGGTGGTGCTATCTAACTTAGTATAATTATTTAACATGTTCAATAGCTTAAAAGCAACAAAATAAAAAAAAATATTACTAATACAATATAATTCAGTTGAATGGAATTAACTAATTGTGTGTACCTCCAGTATACTATAACTGATTAAAAAGGTGGTTTTTGAGAAGGGTTTTGAATGATTCAATGGATGGGGCATTTTGAATATGGGATGTGAGATTGTTCCAGAGGGCGGGGGCGATCGATGGAATGGCACGCTCACCATAAAGTAACAACAAACACCTTCGAAAATCAACGAAGGGAGACTTCAGTAACCTGTTGTATCATATAGCAATCATGATTTGAATATACGTAATTCGACATTGTATAATGTTCGTACATTTAAGAATATAATAGACAATGCTATTGAAATTACCTGAGGTTGATTTTTCGAAAGTCTTTGCGATCATTATATTTACCATCCTGAGAAGAGACACTGCTTCCTTTTAAAGCCTTTTCTGGACTTACAATTATCACTGTTTACAGTTGAATTTCAAGACAACTTTTCATAACGCAATCGTCTTTTGTGTATAGTTGTTTTATATTCTTACTCGGCTTTAGTATGCCATCAGAGGGATGAATATAATTGTTAATAACAATAATGTACATTTATTTTGCGCATATATTAATTCAGGAAAGATGTAGGCGCCCACAAAATACTATACCCTTGCTTTAGCCCAGCTGCCCTTAGGCGCCGAAAACATTCAAGGAATAAATTCAGTCCAGGTATCAATTTACCACAGGGAAGCAATATATACAGATAGCTAAATATTTGATTGAAGACCAACACAAATTATTAAAAAAAAATTAATAATAATAGATCTACTTGCTATCACATCCGCTTCCAATACCATGTTTGCGACGTCAATAAAAATCACCTGCACTTTCATAAAAGATGACGTTATACAACATATCCAAAAAACAACTTGAAGTTCTTTGTAACTTAATCAGGTACAAAGTACACACTTCAGTATTGCCATTTTCTTTAATGATTAGACCGCTCATCTTTTGTCACGTCCTCAATAATATACAATTTTTTATCATTAATGCTGTGATTATTCATAGAACATATATTTCTAAAATGTTCTGCTTAATTAATAAACACATTCAACTATTGAGCAAGAAACGTATACTATTCGTCATGTCATGTAATGAATGATATCCTTTTATAAAGCTATAAATACAAAATCTTGTTTGATTGAAGAAGAACTATGATACTTCTGTGCAGATGTATTAAAATCATCACACCATCTGGATGGATGAAGAAGGAGACTTACCTCTTGTAAATGCAGACATCACACCTGCCACTACAACGAGGAGGAGAAGCGAGAATAACTGCCGAGAATACATCTTGATTCTTTGGTGGCAAAGTTATTTTTCCGAAAGAAAAAAATAGATGGAAGACGAGAGAAAGTATAGTCACCAGTCCTCACGTGGAAAGAGTGGAAGAAATTATGAAGATGATACCGATTTATATGCACTTGTGATTTCCCCGAATTGTCTTGAGATTGATTAAGCCGGATTGTAATAACGGTACTATCCCAACGAGAAGCCAATGGGAACTCGTTTATAATTGGAAGCGATGTGATTGGAGGACTCGCGAGTCCTGCTTATGAATATTCAGAGATACTGCAAAACAAGTGGCCAATGGGAGACCGCTTTGAGATGTAACTGGAGGAACGAAGAACCGAATATTCAGGAGACTGTATGATCTCAATGGGAGTCCTCTTAAGGAAAGGAGGGGAAGGGAAACACGGGGCTTCCCCCATACAAGCCATACATTTTGGAAAAAAAGAGAAGGAGGAGAAAAATAAAAGAAGAAGAAGATGAAGATGAAGAAGAAGATGAAGATGAAGAAGAAGCAGAAAAGCGGGGAGAAGGAGAAGAAGAAGAAGAAGAAGAAGAGGAGGAGGGAGAAGAAAATGATGATGAAGAAGAAGAAGCAGCAGAGGAGAACATGAGACCCCTTTTACTTTGACAAGTGCCTCTTTTCATCTCTGATGAGCGCTATTTAATTTTTAACACTTGCCCTCTTTTCCTTTCTAATAAGTGGCTTTTCCCTTCTGATAAGTGCCCTTTTTTTTTTTTTCACGAAGAGCCTATGCCCCATCCTCGTCCATTAAATTCTCCTTTTCATCTTTCTATTGAAAAATCTGACAGGTATCAATTTCCAAGCGACAGGTGCCCCTTTCCCTTTGTAATAAGTGCCCCTTTTCCATTCTCATAAGTGCTCGTTTTTACTTTGACACGAGCTCTTTTCCCTTCTGATTAATGCCCCCTTTTCCTTTCACCATAACATTAATATGTCTCTTATTTTTTTGAATCCCCCTTCGCTTGCTCACTAAACTCACTTGCATTTATAATTATTGATGCACTTATGTAAGTAACCTCTTTAAAGATCTAATTGGTCTCAATGCGACCTCATAAATAAGAAACTCCATTCTTAGCACACAAAAATTAAGGTTAAATTAAGGGATGCTCCCCATTCTCTCCAAAAGTGCCCCTTTTTCTTGGTGTCCCCCTCCCACCACTTTGTAAGACGCTCCGCCGCCCCTGCAGTGATGGAGGTTAGGAAATGTAATTATTACCATTTTGCATCTATATATTGGAGCCCTGCTTTGATGTATTACGCGTCATCTTAGCTCTCGAAATGATCACTTTCTCTAGAAATCATATAGCAAAACATCCGGCCACATGATTCCAAACCATCATCAGTCTTTAATGAATATCACACAGTCGCTCATTTTCTTCAAACTAATGAGGAAAGATAGGGTGGAAGAGAGGTGGGAAATAGATAGGAAAAAGCAGATTCCTAAAATCCACTACCAAAGATTAGCCGTTTGGTTAGTCGGGCGTGTCACATGATGACGTATGCGCATCAACGTCGAAAAACAGATGGCTGCGAGCAGAGGAAACAGGCTTATTTTGAACCTTGAAATGTATATGTCACCGTGACAACAGATGTAGTATAGGACAGATATAACAGCTAATTAAAATCATGGAGTGTCTTTATCAGTGACATTTCACAAAGTAGCTGATATCATGCTTGGCGGCGGACTTTGGCACACGTTATCTAGCTTATTTGAAACGGGTGGAAGGGATCGAAGTAGGGGTGCACTTGGGCAATAGGGTAACTAATTTTTTATCGATTATTTTCCCTCCCGTTTAGGTTTAAAAAACAAACATGTTCATTGGCATCAGGACAATTACCGGGACTTTACTCCCTGGACAATGACCCCCCCCCCCCCCCCTCCCCCGGAAAACTACCCCCGTTGAGCTATGACAATCAACACTCCTCAAGGACAATTATTCCCCCCCCCCCCCGCGAAAAAGCGAAGTGTACCCTAATAATAAGTTGGTTTAATAATAAAATAAAAAATTCTTAGAGTTTAGAACCATGTACAGTACATAGTAGATTCTCAGAAAGTTGGCCTATAGTTCTAAACGCAACGAAAATGAGAAATAAAAACAAGTATTCCTTTCGTTTTGTTCATGGCCAAGGAACTTATGGATAGACCGAGAAAAAAGAGGGGGTAAATTATAATTACATGATTATGACATATGGAGAAAAGATGGGGGGGGGGGGGGGGGATAGAAGGAGAAAAGGACAGGAGGAAAAAAAGAGGAAAGAAATAGATTAAGACAGGGTCCTCTGATAAGTGAACAGAAAGCTCATGATATCGAAATTGTTCGTCTCTTGTAACCCTCTGAGAAGTTCCAACTCCGAGACTGATGGGTTAACAGTTCCGTAATCATTTTATTACATGAGGTTGAGAAAGAGATTTTGTCGAATTTTAAGCAATGTAGTCTCTCCACTCGTCACATGTCTCTAACCTTTCACTCTCATTCAAGATCTTTTCACAAACGGGCATTTGAGATAGCCCCGCCCCCATGTTATTTAACGGCCTTGATGGGGATACGTGTGGTGGTGGGGGGGGGGGGGGGGGGGGGGGGGGGGCTCTGTATATTCATGTACTATAGTGTAATTGAAAAAAATGTATCTGAAAACTGAATTTTCCCTGATTCTGTACCTGTTGCCCCCCCCCCCCTTCCATTTTGGCTTTATAGTTTTATTGTAATTATTTCGGGGATTGGGGTATAGACTATGCATGTCTTGTAAATAAACATTATTTTACATTTTCATGTTTATGGCAAAATGTAGCAAAAGTCTTTCCTCTGATTTCCTACATCTCATCTCCTATATTATAATTTTTTGTTTTTTCTTTCAGAAATCAAATTAAAGGGCAAGTCCAACACATGTGCAAGATCCATTGAGTACAAAGTTTCATCATCATTATCGGACCAAAAACAAGAAAGTTGTGGAATTTTAAGTTATAATTTCATGGAACAGTGACATGTACAACATTAAAGATGAAGTTGAGTTCTGGTCATGCGATTGCATTGTGAAAGAAACGGTGTGGAACCGACCAGAAAAGGTTGATCATCTAGCATATAATAATTTGTGTGTATTGCAAGGTTCTGGAATCATCAAAATGATAAGAAATTTGGCCAAGTCTTGGTAAAGTTACAAACACTGTACACAGAAAGATGTATATGGGACTACACGAACACGTGGCGTAAAAAGCCTTATCCCGATCTTTACGATGTTACATGCGTATTTAGAATATGAAGGAATTTGAAGAGCCATGCTTTTCAGGGAACATGTCGTATCTGATGTTCTTCTACACTTGCATAATAAGAATGAGTAATGCTCACAAATTATTTTTCACCTCTTCCCAGAACTCATCTTTCACTTTAACTATTCCCAATATTATGACCAGTATTTTGTTTATAAAGTTTAAAGAGAAGGTCGAGTTCTGGGAAGAGGTGAAAAATAATTTGTGAGCGTTATTGTTAGTTTGTTACTATGCAAGGGTGGAAGAACATCAGATAAAACATGTTCACTGAGAAGCATAGCCCTTCAAATGCTTTCATATTTTAAATATGGCATGTAACATCGTAAAAATCGGGACGGATTTTACGCCACGTGTTTGTGTAGTCCCATATATCCTTCTGTGTATAGTGCTTATAACTTTACCAAGACTTGGCCAAATTTCTTACCATTTTGATGATTCCAGAACCTTGCAATACACACGAATACTGGTATATGCTAGATGATCAACCTTTTCTGATCGATTTCACAACGCTTTTTTCACAATCCAATCGCACGACCGGAACTCAAACTTTATCTTCAAGCGTTTCCGTTTTTGGACACACCTGTATAAAAATTGTTCCTTTATACATGAATTTTAACATTTTCCATGACTCATGAGGATTCAAGTCACGTTTCACAATCCCAGAGTAGAAAGTAATATTTATGTTAGGGAAATAAAGAAAAGCGATGGGATGACATCAATTCTCAAATTTGCAAGCAGTCCTTGTGATATAGGCCTACATACATGTATCACTTTCATGGCATTGCCGGTATGCAAAACATTCCAATTTTTTTGTCCCATTTTGATGAAACGTTCATTTTTTCTGTGTTTATTCAATTTAACATGCAAATGGGCCAGACTTCTCCATAAACTTATTCTTCGTAATAGTTTTCACAACATGCACTTAAGAACTCATGACAATTTTCTTCCGTGATATGTTAATTTGCATAAGTGGGATCTCGTTATAAATTACTCTTGCAACAAACTCTCATACCCAGTTCTTCGTACATTCATTTTTTTCTCACGTGACCCCTGACTAATGGTAAAGGTCTCGATATAACACAATTACCTCGGTCCCATTGTACATGTATCACTGCCCCCCCCCCCAACATATTTTGTACATACAAGCCACACAACTGAATCCACAAAACTGGTAAGAAATGCCATACAACCAGGGTTCTCTCTAGTAAATGTACAAAACATTGGGTGCTCAAACTCAATATGGGGGACTTACTTTAGGACCTAGAAAAAAAATGGGATGGAAAATTAAAGGGATAGTGTCGATTCATAATTTTGATCCAAATAAATGTCTATTGTCCTCCAAAATCCTTCCCCCTGGAGTTGAAAAGGTCACTCGACTATAAGCAATTATCAGCCGAGTGAGAACCCTCATTATATAACATTCGCTCCTACACGCTCCTTCCAATCTTCTCCATCTTAATATCCTTGCATACCATACCAGACTGGCACACCTACAAAATGAGAGAATAGAGGTGGTTTTGAAACGTAATGGAAAAGATTTATTACAGGCTGATACACCAGAACAGTTTTTGAGTGAATAATGTACTAGTATGTAATAAAAACAACCACAACGGGCACTGCAATCTAGCATAGTAGATGAATTTGTTGAAGAATACATCGTGATCTGTATTTTCAGATGGAATGTTGGAGCTAAAGATATCAGGAAAGCGTTTGTATAGCAGGTGAGTCCCAGTCCATCAATCTTTCAAATCCAGAGCAGCGTAGACGAGGTCGTCAACAGCTTTCATTACAAGAACCAGTTGACTTCAAGGACGCAGCAAAAGACATCCGGATTGATCAGATGGGACCTTGAGGTGAACCTGCATGATGCACTTGGTGATGTACAGAGGATAGACTCTTCTGGGATGTCCAAATGATACATGTAGGAGAAGCAGATTGGGTAGAACGTCTGAAGTTCTTGTTCCACAGCAAGAGTGCGATGCCCGTAAGAGAGTGGATGTTTCCGGTGGCAGTCTACTTGGATCTGGCACGCATCTTTCTCCTCTTACGCTTCAGGCTGATGGGAAAACAAACCCAAGAAAAAAATGTCAAATGGGCTGGTCATGAATGATTTTTGACTCACAACGACATACATCCAATTTATCGGTAATTTAAGTTGAATTATGCCTTGCCGCTTGGTTTAAGCTAAATAAGTTTGCACCCCTCAACAACTTTGTTACTCAGGGGTGAAAGTGAGCATTAAAAAAAAAAATTCTTTTGTTTTCCCCCTCAGCCACGCCCCCCTCAAGTAAAAAAAATGAAGAGGATTCGCAGGGAATTTTTTTTTTTAAATCGGGAAGGAAAAAAAAAATTTGGGGAAACCGATTTAAATCCGGTTTTTATCAGGCCTGGTTACTACACAGTACGGTAGATATCAAGTGAAAAGGGCCCTTTTTTCAAGACAACTATGAAGGCTTTTGTTTCCTTCGTTGCATGACAGTGACCAGGGCCTCGTTGCACAAAACTTACCATTGATAGCAACTTTGCGATCAATGGTAACTACCATGGAAACCTTGATTTTGATTGGCTGTTTGGCCCGTTACCATGGTGGTCGGCATTGATGGCAACGTTACTACCAATGGTAAGTTTTATGTAACGCCCGGAATTTTTTTTTAGAAACATCACTAACACTGTACCTTACACACAATAAACACGAGCAATGTAACTTACCGTCGCATACGTTTCTTGCGCCACTGTTGAATAGAAGATGATCCATGAAGAGCAAGAAAAAAAGAAAGGGAAATAACACAAAAAGGGTTAGCATGAATTCTGTTTCTACAAATTGCACCATACAATGTGTGAAAACTTCCCACGTGGGGCTGTATACAATGTCATGTTTTTAAAATCAGTAGGGGCGCTGGTCCGAGCATAAGGATCGTCTGCATTTACGAGGATTGTCTTCGTAAAAAACAAGCATCGTCCGCATTTTAGCGGACGATTCTCATTTACGATTCGCGCATTGGTGATGCGAAAAACGGATTCCGAAATGAAAATCCTTGATGCTTTTCACAGACATTCACCTTATGAATGATTAAAATCCTCAGGAAGACGGACGCCGCAAACCATTTTGGGGGTATTTTACGCAGAATCCGTTTTTAGCATTGCCAGCAAGCGGGAACCCTACATCCGCGGAGTGCCGAAGAAAAAAACAGAAAACCCTTTTTTTTCATGTTTTTTAGTTGTCCGCGTTTAAGTGGACGTGGTTCATTCTCGGAACAGCCGCCAGCGCCCCTAACGATGATAGAAATCACATGTCAAGTCGCCGTTTCGCTTAACTTTTCTTTCATTTACAAGGACAAAATTACATTTCATCATGATAAAGAAGGGATAACTTTAACAAACACGGGTGGTTTATAACATTGCATGGTTCATGTTTGGGAATGGGCCGCATCCCAATCGTGGCAAGCTTCTTCAAAGTTCAACCCCATTTCTGACCGCCCACTCGTTTGGCTGCAAAGCTTGAGCAGAATGCAATTTTTTGTGAACTTAATAAGTTTTAACTGGTGCAGTTCTGCTTTAAAACTTCTAACCCAAAAATCTGTGCTGCTCAGTGCTGCCAGCATGGCATGCATGACGACTTTGGAAGTAGGGTGTCTGATCGCGCACCCGATGTTGTGTGCTAAAATTCTTCCCATAGAGATTACACGCATCCCTATGCAGCCTACGTGCATTGCGCGACCATGCAAAAAAAGTCAATTTTTTTTTTCAAATCGAGATTCAACCTTTATCAGTTGTGATCCTGAAGGTGATAATCAATGAATGAGGTGTCATATGAAAGAGCAGGTGAATTCCAATATTTCCAAAGGGGCGTAGCCCCCGAAATTCTAAAAATATCTTGGTCAAAACAGCAATTTAAACATTGTGTCCTGGCTAACTCTGAGGTTTGTCACTTTTGAGATATGACGCCCCGATCGATAAGTAGTCCCAGTCCTAAGGAACAATTCTATGTGATTATATTTTCGCTAGCCCCCAGGGATCACAACTGATAACAGTTTAAAAATACCCTTCTCGCTATTTGGTGGATCAGCTAATTAGGGGGCGTGCGCTCCGCTCAGTCCAAACCATGGTTACATCGCGTAACATCTCCGCGCACGAACGAAACCCCAAATTCAAGTGACTGAAATTATGGTTGGAAATTCCCTCGATAAACCCGGAAGTGAATACACGTTATAGTCAATGGCAATATCGCGGAGACAACGTGCGTTGTCTCCGCGATATTGCCATTGACTATAACGTGTATTCACTTCCGGGTTTATTGTGCGACGAACGCCAACCATACTAGTCGATCGCACATGTCGCGGAGACAGCGTAGCTCAAGCTGCAAGTCGCGGATTGGCTTAGCAGCATGCGTACGATATGCATACGCTTGCATATCGCGCGATACAGCTGTTTGGCTAAATTTAGCAAAACAACATCACTCTGCGTGGACGTCTTTTTCGACGATTTTGACCAAAATGATATGAATATACCAGCGTGTTGGAGGGGCTGTAACTTTTGATAGAAACATCGGTGAGACTTGAAATTTGAAATGTATTATTCTGATAACATTTTTTATTCAAATATCAAACAAAAATGGTGAAAAACGATCCCAAATTGAAAATTGAAAAATCGTTCAGACACCCTATTGGAAGGCAACTTGAACTTTTGAAGTTGAGCTTTGAAGTGAGAACAAAAATGCAAGAAGCCAAAATTGTGCTCATTATTACCACATTATATGTTTAATACAGAGTTTGGAGGTTGTTGCCAAGGCAAGGTCAAACTCGTAGTAGCCATTTATTCCATCTTCATTTTGTCACACGTCATTCACTCTGGTCACATGGCATGCAATGCAAACATGCCTGAAAATTTATCCCAAGCAATCTACTATCTTGTTAGCCAATATCATTTTTAGGACCCAAACATGCAATAAGAATTCGAGACATCAATTTCATGTTTCTAATTCGGCTAGACATCAAGGGATACTAACATTAACAACATGAACAAACGTCATCAACTCAAGTTGAACCGAAGATCATATTCACATTCAATCGACACACACATCACGCAGTTCAAGAAGCAACTATTTACGAACATTTTAAAAGCTTTAAAATAAATCTCACCTTATCCCTCATCCTACAATTCTATCTATTAAAACTTATAAAATAGATTTGTGAAGTTTCAGATGCCGATGATCCTTCGAAATGAAGGATTTAAACAGATTTGGGAAGCACCGCTGGTTGAGTACGTCAACAGCAAACGGCGCCTGGATAAAGAGAGAGAGTTGGTTGAGTTGCCGTTCAATAAATAATCATAAATTACCACTTCTAACCGTTCATATTGAAAATATTTTAACCCTTTTTTGTATATCAATTCATATTTTTAATCACTAAAATATTTTTATATATGGTTTAAATGACTTCTGTGTTTCTTAAAATATTTTTATAAAACCCCTCCGTCAATGGAGAATTACAATCATTAAAAATCAAAATGGCGGAACCCATGGAGGAATTCGAGCAAGAGCTACCTGGCGAAAAACCTGCTAATACATCCACGGACAATGGGGAATCTACAGATCAACAGTCCATGGATAGTCAGACCTTATCAGCAGTTTTGCAGTTTTTGAGAAAAAACAATTTGAAAGTGAGTGCAGTCGTTTTTATTTGTTACAAAAGTCTAGTCTACCAGAAGTGGCAGACCCATGCGTTAACATTTGTGTTAGAGTGTCTGATCACGTATCCAATGTTGTGTGCTAAAAGTCCTTCCCATAGAGATTGCACGTATCCCTATGCAGTCTACGTGCATTGCGCGACCATGCAAAATTGGTCAAAGATTTTATGAACAAGTTGAAATTCAAACCTTTATTCCTCGTGATCCTGAAACTGAAAGTGAAGGTGTCACATGAAAGAGCAGGTTTTTCTGCGCTTGTTCAGAAACCTATCCAAAATTTGACTTGTAACTCCGGCGTGGAGATAGTGAAGTAAATAGACCTAGATCTATATCTAGTCTATTCATTAAATGTCCAAATAAAGATCATGGGTTAAAAGTCATTATGTTTATTACCTGTTTTGTGTCAATTTTCTTGTTATTTTTTGGAGTATTTTTCCTAACGAAGACTTATAATATGCACTTTCTCACGGGATTCACAGCAAACTGCAGCACAATACAATTGCATACCGTATGGACGGTGGAGTGTGGGCGCGCATCACTCCAGCAAAGCATAGAGAGTCAATGCTAATGCTTATTGACCTCTAGCACTGCATGCATGCTGTGAGGCGGGTATTACCTATACACAAATATACACACCACACATTATTGCATAGACTCTACAGTCTACACAGTCGTGTCGATGCAGCTGTAAGCAAAGTTTGACACTAGACTTACAATTGGAATTTTTAAATTATTCTTTTTAGCATCAGTAAGTTAAAAAAAATGTATTTTACTGCTATTTAGGTGTCATCAATTGTCACTAAAGTACCAATTTTGAGTGAAATCAGTTGAGTTTTGTACAGTGGTGTTTGAAATGTTGAGAATCAAAAGCACAGCTTTTACTACACAGCCAGGATAGTGATGCTCCTATGTGTGGGCGTGCATGCATGTTCAGTTAGTTTGTTCAATTTTTACTTCCATTTTCACAATGAATGTTCACAGGGTACTGAAGAGTTACTGAGAAAGGAAGCCAACATCCAAGAGAACCCAGAGAATGCATCCAATACTGATCAGGATGTATCATCTGTCCTCTCAGCATATACAAGGTACATCCAGGATGAAATTTGTCTTCTACATTCTTCTTCATTGTATTCCAGTTGTTATCTATTTCAATCCTCAACTTCTTATCCCCCTCCCCTCCATAGTTTGTTGTTTTTATTCTTTCTTTTCATTGAATGTCCTTCCTTTCTCCTCTTTTGCATTGATTTCAAAGTTACAAAAGGATGAAACTTCTTGTTGATTTCAACATTTTCATGTAAAACAATAAATCCGTGCCCCCTGCCCACTTTATTTTTTCAGATTTGTGAAAATCTGGAGTCCTCCACATGACCTGGCAGTTAAGTCCTCTCAGTTTCTCAATGCCATGATAGTATTGATATAAGGATATGTCTTTATGCAAACATAAATTTGCGCTTCTCAGTTAACAAGTTTGATCATGATTAAAATTCAAGTGCATTTTTGACATCCCCTTTCCAGTGAAGGAGACCCGTTGCTCTATGAAGGTCAATATAGAAATCTGATGTCCTTCATCGGATCATCTCTCGATGCTACTAAGGTGAGATTGGTTTGTGTGGACAGGTGAATCTTGTTGTGTAAGCACTTGGCTAGACTTCAAACTACCAAGCCTGTGATGAATGGGCAATCAATTTTATCTCTGTACAAAATATTCATGCAGTCCATGTAGAAATATTACTGACTAAGTGATCACTAATGGAAGAGAAAATTTTGTTTGTTTACAGTCGTTGTGTTTTCTACATATCCTCTCACTACCGAACACTGAGCATCATAGATAATTTTAGCAATGCATATTTTATGAAATATGCAAATTGTATTACATATTAAAAGTCACGCAATTATTTCACAATCATTCTTAAGACGCTAATTGACTATCTTCATATAATGAAATTACTTATTATTGCTAGAGTAATGGCTCACAGCATTCTTGAATGATATCTGTATGTTGTTCCCCGATGATATATGATTGGGTATTTATTTCATCTTTTTGTTTATGCAGTGTGAACTTGCCCAGATCCTGTACCCGGTGTTTGTTCACATGTACCTGGAGCTGGTATATAATGATCATGATAACCAAGGTATGACAGTATTCATATCGTATTTATCTACAGTGTTATGTCAGATGTATACATCTTGCTCAAAGGCAGGACAATATGAAACAATTTCATGGGCTACTTTTAAGCCACACTGTCGTTTTATTGTATCCATTCATTGTAAAGTGATAAACAAGCTTCATTCGTGATTGTTTGTGATTAATTGATCGATTGATTGATTTGCTTGACTGATTGGTGTCTTTTCACCATCTTTGTTAAGTATTCTCTGTGTTTTTCTTTCTTGCTCAGGGTTTTCATAATAATGATGCAACATTTAGATTGTGTTTTGATTGATGTCAGGTTTTATCAAAGGCAAAGCACTGTCAATCTTTAGTTTCATTTGATTCGAATGGTATTACTCATGAACAATGCCATTCATCTCTTAACTTTTCCTGCAAATGTCAATAAATGGGCTTTAGAATATTTCTTTTCTTGTCTTTGTAGCTGTAGCATTCTTCAGTGGGTTCAGTGATGAACAAGAGAGCTACCATGAAGAAGATCTGATCAAACTCTCAGCTGTCACCAAGAAATGTCATATGAGACATAGTGAACTTATGATGAACTTCAGGTAATAACAAGTTGTGTATCTCTCTTGTACACGGTGCTTGTAATCAAGCATGGTTATACCTGTAGTGTTCATAAGTGCATGTCAGATTCATTTGCATAATCTTTTCTAAAAAATGACTGGCGGATTCTGATACAACCATTAGATTGTCAAACATGTTAGTTCTCGCCTCACAATCTATATTATACAGTCATTAGAATATGACCAAATATGATTGAATTCATTGTGTTTAATACAGTGTGTTATCTGGGCACAGATATAGTTAAATAGCTATATCTAATAGTAATACCTTAAATGTTTCCTTTGCAGAACGAGTAAATATGTGATTCGCATGTCCAGAGATTCCTACAGTGCACTGAAGCGATATCTACAAGACAAACAGAACAACACAGTACTAAACATTCTAGAAGAACATCTATACATTGATGGTGAGTTTCCTGAAGGCAATACTAAATCAATTGTCCAAATTGTTTGTGTAATCATGATATAAGTGATCAATTTTACACTTAAAAATTACCAGTATGCATTTGAAACTTAATCAAAATTCAACCCATTTTGAATATCTTATTATAATTCAAAGACAGTACCAGTAAAAGGGATGTGTTTGATTACAAAGTTCAGTTAATCAACAGACTGCCCAATGTGATTTTAGTACAGCAACGACTGGCTGTTCAAAGGATTAGGTAGTTGAGATTAATGAAATATTAAAAGCATGAACACAAATTGATCATATTATTTTCATCATAAGTCCAGATTTGAGTGCAACGATATATGTGTTTATGTTTCAGTATTTGATGGAGTACCTAGGAATAAGCAGCAGATTGATTCTAAGGCTGGGAGTATTGTTGGAGAAGCAAAGAGAGAAGGTGAACCTTGGATCTATCTTGAAGCATTTATTTCTGATTTACCATCATAATGTTCAAGGAGAGATAGTAGTCAAGTCTGTTAGTACCTAAGGGACAGAAGATGAATTATGAATACAGGGGTTTTAGTTTGATTCCAAATGGCAGTATCCTTAAATGAATATGACATTGTTTAACATTTCAGAAATCAAATGGAAATGTATAAACAGCAAAGTACCTCAACAATTATTTGATAATCACATATTTACAATGTATATGCATGTATATATAAACCCCATTTATAGATGGGTATGATTAAAGGGAGGTGGTGTCTTTATTGGGCAAGTCCTAGCTAATTTGTCTCAAATGTTACTGACCACATCTAGTTATTTTGATAGCCCTACCAGACCATTATATGAGATGAAATGCATTTTAGGTAAATAATTCCTCAAAACTTGGTTGCATATGGCACCAGATGACCAAGACACCATATTGGCTTTATGAAAGGATTGTTACAAACTTGTGCTCATTTTTTATTACCTGCTTGTTTTTCACCCAGCCAATAAAGGAAAGATCTACTATGGTCTCCTCAAGGAGCCTGATATTAACATCCAGATTGATGAAGATGATGAAGGAGGAGAAGGAGAAGATAAACCTAAGGTAAATGTAGTCACCATTCATTCATAATTATATAGTTGGATGTCTCAAAGTTGAAATGCGTCATTGTTCGAAATATAAGAAATAAAACATCAGGCTATGGTATCAATCTATTCCATTAAACAATATTTGAATGAAGAAGATTACAAAGAGCCTCTGAAAATACTATCAAGTGTGCTTATACAAATGAATAATGAATGAAAACAAGTAGAATTCCTCCACCTTGTGTTAATAAAACATGCATAAATATGACTCCCCCCCCCAAAAAAAAAAAATAATAATAATAATAAATGAAAACAAGTGAAATTCAAATAGTGTGAACTGAAAATTAACTCGCATATGAACACTTGTTTGTGACTCACTTCCATGCAAACGTTGAAAGTTATTTATAAGTTTGTGCTTTGTTTGCAGATGAATGATTTCCTTCTTCTTTCCCCTTCTAATAATAGAAAAAGAAGCCAAAGAAGGATCCCCTTGCATCCAAGAAGAACAAGCCTGATCCTAATGCTCCTCCTCAGACCAGAATACCGCTCCCAGAATTGTGAGTATTACATGGAATGTTTTTATCAAAAGCTTGTGTAATATTTAGAGAAGGTGGATGAGGTTTAAAACATAAGAAAGGTATGTATTATTTTACAACAAATGTAACAGGTTCTGTTTTGGGCAGGGTATCTGATAGTACATATTGTATTATGATCTTTATTTAGTCTGAACTTTGCAGTCATTGAATCAAAATATAGGAATATTGTCCAAGGCTCCTAGCAGTAATCATGTAGAATTTATTTTTTATTTTTAAGAAACTTATTTCAAGTGTGTTCAACTGGTTAAGCAAAGCTATCTTTATTTCAAGAGGATGACTGAATATGAATGCCGATTTAACTTTTGCAGGAAAGATGCGGATAAACTAGAGCGTTTGAACGCACAGAGGGAGCTCTCCAAACGAGTCCATCTTGGGACAGATAACTTGCCATCTATCTGCTTCTATACATTCCTCAATGCTGCACAAAGGTTTGTGAAAAGCACTACTTCCTGATGCTTCGAGATTCTGTACAGTCTCTTATTGCATGGTCTTACGTGTATGTCATATTAGTGTAAGGTTATAATTTTTACTAATGACTGGATTTGATTTGGGACTTTTGACTAGAGAGCTATCCATGATTTTGGAAATAGATGCATGTGTAAATACGTCCTTCAGACCATAATAATCACTTTTTTAAAGGCTTTGAAATGCATTACCTATCATTATATTTACAATGTTGTTATGATTTTCCTACTTTCATGGTGGTTTCTAGTGTTCAATATCAAAACTCAGATAGACTCAGATAGTCCAGATTCACCAACCTGACTTACATGCCCATAAATATACATATCCATAACAGCCACAGTGGCCTTACTAATGTTAAATTACACTCAGTCTTTGATTTCCTGAATGCACATGCATGAGGCAAATACTTGATGTATTTATTTCATGTAATGTGACCCTTTGGCCAAATCTGAAAAACATCTAAATAACATTTTAATGAAAATTGACAGGTTATTATTCAGTAACTAAACCCCAAGTGCAGCTACACAAGTCTTTTTTTTCTTCATCATTTGAACCGTTCACAGTCGGCTGATCTCAGTAGATGTAAGCAATGACTCTGGCCTGCTTGCAGCAGGTTTCTCAGACTCTAACATCAAGGTATGGACATTAACACCTCAGAAGCTAAGGAAAGTCAAACAAGCTGGAGCCTTGAAAGAGATTGATGCCGAGGCTGATGATGTTCTGGAGAGAATCATGGATGACAGGTACATAGTTTACTGCAGTGAAACCTGTTTATAAAGACCGCTCAAGGGAGACTTGAAAAAGGGTCTTTAAAGGCAGGTGGTCTTTATGTACAAGTTCATTTACTAAGGGTGGTCTTTCTATACAGGTGGTCACTAAAGCGGGTTTGACTAACAGCATCTTTGTATGAAATAGTTGAAGATGTAAAGAAGGATGAAGGTCAATTGAAAATTTTATAGGGGTAGATGAATAGTGAGATGAAATTCTTAATGCTTAACCAATGATAAGGAAAAACAATGTTGGCTATGAAAATAATTTTTTTTTTTTACAAAGCTTACTATGTTTAGAATGACACCTCATGCATTTTAAAGTAAATTGCTCAAGGTGAATCATTTGTTACCAAATAGTTTGTCCTAGTATAGTACATTCTTATAACTTGTAGAAACATCTGAATGATTGTGTCAAACGAACAATATTACAATAAAGAAACATAGAAATTGAACTTTTTTTATAAATATTCGCAGAATGCATGCTGGAGTTATCCCACCCATGTGACTGTTGACAAATTTTTACATTTAGTAGAAGCAATGTTTCTGAAGTAAGACAGGTTTATGATAAAACACATGGAATAGTTGTAATTCTAAAGCAGTAGCAAGTAGCACATTCAAGGCTCTTATTCATCAGGTTCAGTGCTCATATTGCATATACGAAAAATATACCAATTTAACAAATAGTGAAATTACTTGAAGAGAACATTTGAAGATTTCAATACATTAAAGGGATTGGGTATCTTTGTTTCAGATTCTGAAACAAAATCCTGGATTTAGCTCATGCTGCAATCATGATTATAAACATTTAGGTCAGTCAGGAACTCTTGTCTGATTATCAAGATATTTATGATTGGAAATCGAAATTTCAAAAACCATTTTCCTAGCGGTTTTTATAACACTATAGTATATTAAAGAAAATGATATGGTAAAACCGGTCACTCAAAGATTTTTAATTTTTGAGGCACTTCATGATCATTTTGAAGTGCAATTTTTTTATAGGGCTTCAATATTACTTAAACATATAGGGCCATACATCTCAGATTTAACATTGATAAACGATGCCTTTAACTATCATTCTCCAGTACTGCCACAGACCAGAGAATCCTACTAGGACACAGTGGACCTGTGTATTCCACCAGCTTCAGCCCTGATAGGAAGTTTCTCCTCTCCTCATCTGAAGACAGTACGATCAAGCTATGGAGCATGCATACCTACTCCAGTCTGGTGGCGTACAGGGGGCATAACTTCCCCGTCTGGGACGTGCAGTTTGGGTAAGATGTCTATTTTGGTACATCTGCAGTCGTAGAAACATGGAAATGTTGATCTTTATAGGTTTCATGATGGAATATACATTTGCTTGATTATTAGAAATGCCATAATAATAGTGAACATTTTTAATGCGCCATGTCTGTCAAAAATGACACTGCTCGCGCAGTTGTGTGAAGATTGTGGTCATACCAAGTGATTTGAGAAAGAAAGTAATATCCTGTGAGGGGAGGTATAGTTCTTAAATTAACTGCAGAATACTATTAGTAGGATAGAGAGAATAAATGAGATAAAGGAATTATGGAAGGAGGAGAAAGTACTCTTATGTATTGATGGTTTGGGGTATTTTCATCCCTGCTTGGTTGTCCCTTCTAACCTTGAAAATTAATTATGTGTCCCTCATTGAGGCTTAGATGTTTAAATATTTAAGCTTGATTACCTTGATTAAGCTTTGTGTAAAGAGTTGTCTCAAGTAGAAGAAAATAATAGGCAGGGGAGTACATTCTAAGCCCCTATTCTGTGTTCTATCTTCAAGTAGCCAATATGGGCCCTTCATAACAGAGACAAAGACCAGGATGTGTATACCTCTAATACCTTTAGTACTTTAATAGACTATTTCTACCCCTATAGAAAGTTATTCTCAAGGATAATAAGTGTCATTTAACAAAGCAAGGATTAAAATGGGTGAGAGACTGAGAGTAACAGTGAAGATACCGAGATATTTATCCCTTTATTGGGGATGAACAAAATATCCAAAAGTGATTCTGAGAGGTGTAGCTCTGATTATAGCATGTATCAACCAGTAATGAGTCAACCAAATGTATGTAGATGTTGCATGATACAATGAGCACTGTTTTTGCAAACTATACAGTTGTAGCTTTTGCCAATCCTGTAAAGAACATTATGATAATCACTTAATCTTAACCCATCATACATAATAGTAGTAAAAATTCAAGGTTTTTGATAAGGTGAATTTGTAGATGTTCTTTAACTTGGCCAATTGACAAATATATATTTTGAATGATTTATGTAGACAAAACTTTATTTGCACCCTAATTATCATCCTGTTATTGCATTTTAACTTGTTTTTTAATCACATTAGTGTTTAAAACTTGTTTCTTGTCATCCTTGTTATGATTTCCCCATTCTATATCCTTTATGATTTGCAGACCATTTGGTCATTACTTTGCATCAGCCAGCAAGGATAGGACAGCCAGACTGTGGGCCACTGAGTATCATCAACCTCTTAGGATATTTGCTGGACATCTTTCAGATGTTGAGGTGAGTAAAAATTGATTTTATATGAAGGGTCATTTAGAGTAAGGTATTATTCTTGTACACAGGAACCTGGATATATATTTATATTAATAAATAACAACTATAAATTCCCATTGCAAGTGCATTCATATCATGAAAATATTTAATATTGTATATATCTGTAGTAATTTGCAAATCCAATACCTTTTCCCCATACAATGCCGACCACAACTGCAATTCACTATATCTGAAAATTGTATTAACGTCATTTTCCAAAAGGGCTTTGATAAGACCAAATATAAAGTCTATTTTACCTTTTAAATGTTGTTATTTGTTCCTAGTTCCATGTGATATACATGTACATCACACCAAATTACCAAATACTTTGGACTTGTCTTACCATTAGTACTATGTTTTTTTTTTAGCCAACAATTCTGAATTGATTATGCAATGTTTGCAACTGTTTTGAATATTCTTTGAATAGTAATACTAATGAGGTTGTGAAATCTCTCCTTTTATTCATTACAGACTGTGAGGTTTCATCCCAACTCCAACTACATTGCAACTGGTTCTAGTGACAAGACAATCAGACTCTGGGACATGAACAACGGCAAATGTGTTAGAGTCATGACCGGACACAAGGTAAGGGATTCTTACTCTATCAATGTCCTCTATACAATTGGGTTGTTTTTATTAGTCAACTAGAAGGCTTAGGAGTCATCTTTAATTAAAGTTGAAATGAGATTAACAATATCAATATGAAAACATGTCTCTGGGCTACACTTTGAATTCAAAGAACTTCAGGAATCTTTAGTAATCAATGATCATAAACTACTTATGTTGGGTTACATTTGCTGATTTTTTAAGCTGAACAGGTTTATAGAAAATATCATAGATATACAAATTGTATCCTAGCAAAAAAAATATGCCAATTAATGTTCCCTGGTGTTACCAACAATTATGATTTTTTTTCTTCATATTTAAATGATTCAATTCTGAAAGAAATAATTAAATTAACAGTGAATATCAGTAAATGTATGCAAAATGAAAAGTAGAACTTTATGATTAGCAAATGTTCAGTGGCGTAGCCAGAGCTTGATGTTTGGGGGGGCACATACATTTAATTGATCAATGTCCTGGGGAGGGGACTAAGAGGAGGGGTGTCTCCCTTCCCTTTGGAAATGTTTTGCCTATTTAAAAGGGTGAAGATGCAAAATCATGTTTTTTGACATAAATTCACTCTAATGTGGATGTCATTTTATCATAAAAACGGAATTTCAAAATCACGATCAGCTCATTCAAGCATGTATCTCATCTGTACAAATGCACGGCAACTATATTATATGAGTAGGAATTTCTTCCTGACATCTTTTATATAAGCACCACAGTGGTCTGGTGGTACCACGTCATCTCCCATTTTGACAGTGAGTTTCCTTAGCTACCTTTGCCAATATGATGGTATACAGTGATGGAAAAGAAAATACGATCTCACCTGTTCGTATATCTTCGTGTGTCCGCTTAGAAGAGTTGAATCCTTGTTCTCTGTTCCCGCTGCGAAAACTTCTTCAGCACCTCCACTGGATTAGTTTGTAACTCCTTACTTCTTTCACCGGACACATAAATAACTCCAAGATCAGAGAGCCGTTGATTTCTCATTGTACTCCGTAAATAGTTCTTGATATACTTCATTGCAGAGAAACTTCTCTCGCATACAGCCGAAGAAACCGGTAATGTCAAAGCCAACTGGGTCGTTTTCCGCAGATTGGGTAAACTAGCCGAGGGTATCAACTTTTCCATGCTGGAAAAGCTATTTGCATTGTGCCTTCTAGATGAATCGGGGGTGCTGGAGTCCTTCTGTTTATTGCTGATGATTTGTCTGGCCATTGTCATTTCAGCCTTCAGTAGCTGAACGTCCACATCCAGAGAATCTGTGTATAGTTCAACAAAGGGTTCGACGGCAGAGAATTTGAGGAAGTTGACAGAGGAAGGTGTCAGTAGCGCGTCAACACCTTGCATGATTGCAATGTTGGATGCAGAGAAACGCCTGGTCATCTCAGATTTGAATGCATCCAGTATAGGGAGAAAGGTGTTGACACGAAGGTCATCAAGGAACTCAGCACTTGACTCAGCCTCTGATTGACTCCGATGACCAGTTGAAGCCATGAGGAAACTATCATCAAAGGTTCGTTGCTTCCTCCGGCGCTTTGGTTGCGGCACTGTAGGGATGTTGTTGTCCTCACAAATCCGAGTGATATCTTGCACTAAATCAGGCCACCCAGATGCCCGTGTTTCCTCGACAATTGATATCACAGAGTTGATCATGGTCACAGCATTCCCTAAGTTAGCGTCATTGGCTTGCAAGGTCTCACTGAGTGCCTGGGAGTGAGACAGCAATGTCATCAACACTTCCAAGTGAGTGACGAATGAAACGCTCATCGCTTGATTGAGAAGTCCTCGAGCTTCAACCACGAGTTTCGGATCTCGTTTCGATTCTTGTGAGTCACAGAAATGCTCCAAGACCTCAAGTATATAACTATACCGCGTCTTCAAAGTAGAAAGCGACTGGTAACGACAAACCCACCGCGTGTCACTCAGTCGGACGAGTTCTTTAACTCGACACTTGGCTCGTTGCTGGTAGTCTACAAAAACTTTATGGACGAGGGAACGGGTCATGAAGACGTACAACGCTTCCAACAAGACAAAAAACTCGCCGGCAGAACTCACGTTTTTACACATATCCACAAGGACCAGATTGAGCCTGTGCACATGACAGTGGACATACTGGGCGTTCGGAAAATGTTCTTTCAGTCGTGCTTGTACTCCACTCAGATGTCCAGACATAACACTCGCACCATCATAGCACTGGCCCACAATGTCAAATTTTCTCAAGCCAAGTTTACCAACTTCTCGCACTATCTGGTTGGAAAGTGACTTGGCGTCAAGATCATCTGCTTCATGAAAGTCTAAGAATTCCTCATGCAAGATATGTCCCTCTGCTTCTTTGTATTCGGCATATCGCAAGCAAATGCTGATTTGTTCTTTCTTTGAGACGTCTTTACTCTCATCCACAATGATTGTGGCCAATCCTGCAGAGTTCACCTCCTCCGCAATTTGTTCCAGAATTATTTCCGCTGTCACGTTCAGGAGCTCATTCTGAATTTCGGCGCTGAGATAAGTAGCATTGAGAGGCATCGTTTTGATTCTTTCACCAAAAGCAGGATTGGCATCACCGATCAGAGAACACAGTTCTAAAAAGTTCCCTCGATTAAGTGAGTCCGCACTCTCGTTATGACCCCTCAATGCTATTCCCTGTCTTGCGAGGAAAATGATTACTTTAGAAATCTGGGTTATGTATGCCCAGTTTTCCTTCACTATTCGAGAGTATTGTCCGGATATTTTGGAAGCAATGCTGCCTTCACTCAGACTTTGAAGGTAGTGGTGCCATCTTGAAAACGAAGTCTTGTGGCTTTCACTTTCGCTGTGCTTCCTAAATTTCTCGATAGCCTTCTTCCATTGATTTATCCCATTTTCAGTGAAATTGTGTTCTTTGTGACCGGATATTGACGGGAAAATCCGGCAAGAGTAGCAGAAGGCAGCATCACTGATTGCGGAGTATTCCAGCCATGTGAATTGTTTGTACCAATCTTTGTTGAACGATCGATTTTTCCCACCTGTTTTAACTTGAGGGAATGACGCTAGGATTGGTTGTTTCGGTCCAGAATCCTTTGATCCTAAATCCAACAACCCAGCATTACTCTCAGCCTCACTTATCAGTTTCACATCACTTTCCGACGATCCAGCACTTGTTCTACTGGATGGACCCGGTTGCAGTGTTACTGATGATTCTCGCAGACCTCCCTCTTTCAATTCCTCATGTTCCTCTCGAAATTCCTCTGTTTTGCGTGATTTACTGTCACTAAATTCCGCTCCTGATTTACCCCGACTCGTGAATCCAAATTTAAAAAGAGACATTTTTCATTGTAATAATGAAATAATTATCAGAGCAGTGTATGTAATCCAGCGTAGTCAATAGTAGTGGCCAATCATAAATCCTAATTAATGTACTGTGTATCTATAGATACTGCACTGTACAGTGTACACACCGAAAAATGTCCATAATATACAACTTCACCTTACGCGCATATAGTCAAAACAATGAACCCATTGTATTTGTCCCGAACTTGACCCCACGCGCGACGATCAGTCGGTAGATTCATCCACACAGGCTATTATGTAATTTACTTTCGGAATGTTTCAGTTATCAGAAATTCTGAAAAATGGCTGCTTAATGTGATATAGGTGAAATGAAGTTGAAGGCATAATAAAATAAAGTTATGAAGAATGTGTGAAGTAAATAGTATAAGGCTTTTGTTTTCATAATAAAAAAAGTTCAATCGATCTTGGAAATTTTGGGGGGGCACGTGCCCCCCCGTGCCCCCCCGTGGCTACGCGCCTGCAAATGTTTGAGGGCTGTTGAGGCATGATACATAGACGAAATTGATGGTACAGTCAAACCTGTCTATAGCGACCACCCAATGGAAAAACAAATAGTGGTCTTTGTAGACAGGTTCCTTTAGTACATGTTTCAATGAGAAACCATTTTCAAGGGAAACAAAAAAAAGTGTTTTTTGTAGACAAATGGTCACTACAGCAGGCTTGACTGTAATTGACACCTTCTGTGTAAATTGATATTACCATGTTATGAAATGAATCCAATACATATGTTTATTCCTATTTACCTCCAGGGACCAATCCGTAATATCATCTTCTCACCCAACGGCCACTACATGGCATCAACAGGAGAAGACAAGAGGGTGTTACTATGGGAACTACGCCATGGTAACCTCATCAGAGAACTCAACGATCATACAGAACCTATCTACTCACTTAGCTTCTGTCAGGATGGCAACGTTCTCGCCTCGGGTAAGCTGAAACTGGTCTTTGCATATTTTGTTAATCAAGCATTGTAAACTGGGTGTACAGACATGATTTCATGCCCATGACCTGCTTATAATCATATCTGAGGGACCTTGCTATTGTGTTCTATGACATGTGCTTCAGCAACAAATGCTCCATCATCAATTTCCTACATTAATTGAATTGTGAACATCAACCCTGGACCAAGCACGACAGGGTATATCTATTCCTTACCCCCTAAACTTAACTTGATACTTGATGGAGTAATCCATTTGGCAGCTCACTCAGGAAGCTATACTGAGATGGTAGGTGAGGCGAGTAACTGCATGGAGTGCCATGAAGTGCAGAAATGGCGTGTGGACAAAGCATTTATAAATGTACGGTAAAATATGCCAGTGCCAGTTAAAAGCAAGTAACTTTATTGGAAAAGCCTTGAAAGAAGCATCAGATGACTGAATCATTAAGATAGTCGCATTTTTAGATGCACTAACTTCAAAGGAAACTTGGGAGATATTTCATACTTGCATTTTCATATCTGTGATTTAGGTATTTTTCTATTAATGTGCCAGTCTAAAGCAGGGCTCCCACTTAGCCGAGTTGGAGCCTCGAGTTAATACAATAGTAAAGTTTATTTAACCATAAAATGAAACATGTACATACAAATGAGTAACATAGTAAACATAATACGGTAAAGGACACCCTTAGAAGCAAATTGCTTGTGGTGGGGCCTTAAAAAGAAAAAACAAACTACACATGATTATACAGTTTATAAACTTTAAAATAACATGATACAAACACACAAGCACGCTCACACATATACATACACACATACATTCAAAATATCCTCCTCTGCTCAAACTTGTTTACATAAATCATTAAATAATAACTGTGTACATCGTACTTTAAATCGAGATAGAGTTGTACTTTCCTTAATATCATTACTCAAATTATTCCATTCCTTAATGCCATTTAAAGTTGTGACGAGCTGGCGCGATCTTATGGCTAGCCGTTTTATCATTAAAACATATTATTGATATCACGAAATCGATTTCTTGATATTACTAAATCAAATTCTTGATATCAAGAATTACCATTGCTTTACAACGTAAAATTATTTTTTGATATCAAGAAATATGTTTTAATGATAAAACAGCTTGCCATAAGATCGCGCCAGCTCGCCACAACTCGAGGCTCCAACTCGGCTAAGTGGGAGCCCTGCTTTACCACTTTGTTACTATTGAATACTGCTGCATGTACCTATTTCTTGAATGTTTATATCATATGTTAGTGCTCTTAATAGAGTATGTCTATAAGTAAGCGATTGACCATATGTCTTTATTTAATAAACTTGTTATTATTACCTTGATGTTTAATTTTTTTGGATTTTATGTAGGTGGTCTTGATAATTGCGTCAAGCTTTGGGATGTTAAGAAGATCTTTACAGAGACAGAACCAGATGAGCTCAGTTCAACCCCTGCAGTTGTTACGTAAGTACATGTACTACTTACTTTATCGTTTGAACGTTTGTTTTATGACTAGATATATCTTGTATGTGCCTCGTATTGTAGGTTAAAGAATGTTATTTGAAGACAATAATATTTGAAGCCTAATGGACATTATTACCAGTAGTGTCATCCATTTGCAGTTAGCCTAAAGGTCATTTAAAGATTTTATATGGTATAATACACCAGTTTACGGTTGTATCAGTGCGCATGCGCAGACAGTTGACCTCGGGTCATTGGCCCTGAAACAAAGCCAATGACCCGAGGTCAGTGGTATTTATGCATAAATTAAGATTGCGCCCATGCAGGCAGGGATGTCATCATAATTTGCATGGGCGCAATCTTAATTTACGCATAAATACATGACCTCTAGGTCATTGGCTTGGTTTAAAATGGCGCACACAACCGTAAACTGGTGTATTAGTTTTACATGCACACCTCACTTCCGAAAATTGTATGAAGATAAAGTATATCAGTTGTGATGTATACAATCTATCAGATCAGAAATCTTGTATTGACAATAGACCATTGCACTTAATCATTCTCATTTGTTTTGATCTCCCTGTAGATCTAGTGCTTCAAATGTTCTGCTTGGTTCTTACCCTACCAAGACCACTGCTGTCTACAATCTACACTTCACACGTCGGAATCTCCTCCTAGCGTCGGGTCCGTTCACAGCATAGCATTGTCTCCTTCCAGCCCTCCAAGTAATTGACGAAATGGAAGAGAAACCAGTTCCCTTCGCCTCCATGCATTGGCCAGTTTACATGATAGGAGTGTCTCTGAACACCACTTGAGGAGCTACATGTAGCTGATGGGTCATGTCTCCCATGGAAAACATTGAAGAGTAGTGTGATTCTCCAGTGAGCTTTTGTGCATGTGGCAATCAAAAAGTATTTGATGACCAACTCAAAACATTCTGCAACTGCTTCCCGATGCCTTCAAATGCAGCTAATCTTATGGACATTGTAGTAAAAATGGATCTACTCTTATTATTTTCAAAGGAGAATATTACGTGTTAGTCCTGGATGAAGTCACCCTTGTCACAGTCAACCAGCTTTGCAGCTGTTCATCCCATCCGGTTTGGCTGCCAATAATCCTAGACAAACTGGAGTTAGTAGCACCCATTACTCTCATCCATAAGTACATCTACGTTAGAAAGAATACTTGTCTCAGTGAGAGTAACACCAGTAGAAATGCATTCTATAATGTCAATTCTTGTCCATACATGTTGGTGAATGGGCTGAGAGTCAATTGTTATTAAATTTGCAGCCACATCACTATTTTGTATTCAGAAAGAATGTTTTCAAATCAGTATCATAAATGAAGCGTGTTCCAAGAAGACAAATTTAATCATGTGCTTAAAATTTACCTAGAAACCAAAGTATTTTATTTGCACAACATGTATTAATTCCATTCTTAACTCAAGTTCACCTGACATGTATGTACAATTTTGTTAACATCTCCAATAGATACACCGTTTCATTGCTCAAGGCTGTTCCATGCTTTAGCATAATTTTGGGGAGTCCTAAGGTTAATGTTCTCTTCGAGGGTAGGTGTTCAGATATGATAGTATTAAATCATTTCTACAACCTTTGATGTGACACATTCACCAGCACACACATGAACAAGACAGAATCGAAAGAAAAATAGAAACCAGAAACCAATGCAATTTAGATGTAATTTATTGCTTTCCATATCAGACTGTTTCTGTTTCTGTGAAATATGCAGTTTATCTTGTGATGGTGTAAATATTTTATATATAATGTGTATATAGCCAAGAAACTTTGTAATAAATTGATAAATTCACACATTTTGTGCAATTGAATCTTTTGTTTTACCCAGGTGTAAAATAATAGCGTGATATCAGAGTCTATGGTAACATGATTTCCACCAATAGATGGATCTAAACTTAACGTAGCATTTTCTTTTTCCTGAGGTACAAAAGTGCCAGACACAAGTACAGAATACAGATGTATTTAAACTTTTGTTTATACAAGGCAGTAGATGAATAAGATTTGAACATGTTGAAATGGTTATTTATTTGCATCTACATGTACTTGTATTGGTAGAAATGAAAGGTCGACAAAGAAAGAGAAATAGAGGGGGAATACATAGTTACGAGGTATCATGAGAGAGGTAGGATGGGAGAGAGAGAACAGAGAGAGAGAGAGAGAGAGAGAGAGAGAGAGAGAGAGAGAGAGAGAGAGGAAGGGAGAGAGAGAAATGGAGATGGGATAGGGAGAGAAAGAAAAAGAGAGCGACGGACTGGTTGGAGATAAATATACAATGATGTGCGAGGAAGGCGTATACTAGTATAAGGGCAAGAAAAAAATTAAGAGAAAGAATGAGCAGATGATCACACATGAAATATAGATATAAAATGATAACGATAAGTATATAATTAAATAAAAAAACTCGTTACACAATTGATGTTGATTAGTTCATTATGATCCTGTCTGACCCATCTCGACATCTTCTAACGAATCCTCTTCAATCATTCCCGAGGAAATACCCGGCAACGGTATTGAGAACAATGAGAACCCTTTCTTACGGGGCTTACGAGGTGGTGGCGCTGATGACTTGGCATTGGTCATCTTAGTCTCTACGCTCCTACGCCGTGACTTCTCTTCCTCCTCGACGCTTGAGCTTGATTTGAAGTGAGGTCGCAGAAAAGCGGCGATGCTACTCCGTCTCGACTTGGGCTTTGGAGAGGCGGTCAAATGGTTATCGTTTCCATCCAGGAAGACAGAATCTGAGGTAGATAAGTTTGAAGGGCTGGGGCTCATAGAACACATGGTCATGTTTGGAGTGGAGCTTATAGGAGAAGGCGGTGGCGGAGAAGGGGAAAGGGATGAGTTGGAAGGTGTAAATGACATCGCATGCGATGGCGTGGTGGATCTCGTACGCGGTGACGTGGATGATCGCGGATGTGTCGGCTTGGTCGGTTGAAGAAGACGTATAGCCGGCACACCTGGTAGAGACATATTTGATGAATTGTGATTCGTTTCAATGTCTCCATGCTCCCCTCTCGCACTTCCCTGGTGTTTCACAAAATTTACACTGGACGGTTTTTTGCTAACATCATCCACTAACTCGGTCATTGATTTAGCTTTCCCGCTTCCCGCCCGCCCACTGCCCGGTCGTCCACTCCCTAGTCGCCTCGGTTGACGATGTCCATCCACGCTTATCTGTCTATCATACCGACGTCGTGGGCCGTGGACTTGCTCGTCATCGGAAGACTCGTGCTCAACGGGACTGTGAGGAGTGGTGATGCTAAACATCCTCGGTCGATGAGCAAACTGGCTACTTCGTCTTCTTCTTCTCAAGGACATCTTTGAATTCTGTCCAGCTATCCTATCCGGATGCAGTGAACTTTTCTCATCGCCTACATGCACTTCGCTTTCTATCTTCCCACCCACATCCGGGCCTGCTTCATCTTGTTCTTCATCGTCATCGTCATCGAGTTCAGTTTTGAGCAAGTGGTCAATGCGTGACTTGAGTTTGGAGATGATCTCAACGTCGTTGTCGTGTTGTTCTTGTAACTGCTGTTCAAAGTACTCGATTTCCTGCTTGAGACGCTCATCGTAATACTTATGGATCTTATCGGCTATGAGGTTGAGTTTGGTTCGGAAGTAACTTTCTTGTTCACTTAGCTGCTGTTTGAAATGCTGCTGCGACTGCATGTAAGAAACGAGATATATATTATTTTTAATGGATTAATCTTCGATTAATTTTAAACGACTAATATATGTACACTGTACTGCAATCAAGACATTTCCTTTCATGAGGCTTATAGTTTGGAATTTCTTTTGTCATTATGTTATGATCTTCACAGTGTTCTTGTTCACTTTCTGGTTCATATTGTTTTTATTATCGTCTATTTTTTTTTTTTCCAGATGATAACGATACAATTTTTACCTGCAGAAATTCAATAAAAAAATACAAAGTACTATCAAAATACGCTAAAAATGACCCCAACTTCTACCCCGAAAAATAGCTTTCAATAAGGTCAAGATATTGATAATAATGTTCTCTTTGAGCAATAGGTGCATTATCTATTTCCTTGATTTTTTTTTCTTCATAAAATACAAAAACTCACCTTTTGTTCATGTTTCTGGAGTACATTAACGCAGTCAGTATGGTTCTGCTCACGCGCAAATTCCATGGCTGTTTTACTCGTCTGGTAGTGGGAATATAACAGAGAAAGAGAGAGAGAGAGAGAGAGAGAGAGAGAGAGAAAGAGAGAGAGAGAAATAGAGAAGGAGAGAGAGAGAGTGAGAGAGAGTGCGATAGAGAGGGGGAAATAATTAAGATACATTTCCAAATTTGTAGGTTTAAAAACAACATAATAAAATACCATTCTGAAAAACATTCCGTTAGAACGCTGACTTAATCTTCCCTATATCACCATCTGTTATCTGAATGTCAACCAAATTAACTGTCGAATCGGAGGGTCCTTATTTGTGTTTACATGATCTTTAATGACCCAATATATCAGACGAATTCAGTAATGGGAAGGTAGCGCGGACCTTTAATCAATTCACCAGAAGAAATACAGGCTTCATGTAGTGACGTAGCATTAAATAACTATTATAACATAACACATGGTGCATCCGCAAGCCTACTGTATATGGTAAGATTAGCCAGAAACTTTTAGTATCATTGTCTCAAACGGAATGGTTTTGTTATTGACAATGGAAAATAAAAGTATATTACTGTGGCTTATCGCTAATGGCAATAGTCCAACCCGACACACGTTCCATTTTGTGAGTAAAAGTAACAAAAGTTAATTTAAATGTGATTATAGGTTATTTCTAACTAACAAAATGACTGTAGCATAAACTAGTTATCCAAAACAATGATGTAAGAATATTTAGAAAATATCAACATAAACTAGCATGTTCTTTCTACAAATGTTATAGGATATCAAGAGGTTGCATAATACTTTTTATTATACGATCTACGGTTGGTCGACGATATTTCTTGTAAGCAAAGCTCGATATTGAGCGCAATTTGTGTGTGATGTTTACTTTCTGTTGCAATACGGGCAAAAGTCGGACCTGATTACAAGACCAAAGCAAATAAAAAGAAGATACAACGGTGTTTAATCTTTTGATAGAGGTGAAAGATCAGACTTAATGGATCAGAGATGGTACGGTTTTATGACTCAAATATTTTTATTCTCCTAGCGGGAAAATAAAAATAACAGTGATCTTTAAGTTATCAATGTATGATAAACGTCTGTTTAATCTCATTGACCGCTTCTAATTACAACCCTAATCGAGTATTGACAGAAGAGAATTTGTCATTTGTACTTGTCCAATGTGTTTTGAATTTGATAATGCTGGCGAAAAATATGTAATGCGTGTTATTTATTCTGAAGAAACAAAATAAATACACTCCCACACTATATCAGTCGAATTAGGCATAGAATAGCTAAAACGTTCGTTGCTACTTTTCACTCTTTACAGTGCATACGCTTATGGTAATGTTTTACATTCTCGTATTTTTTGGTATAAAACTGCGTTATATTACGCCTTTATGTGATTTATTTGATTGATTGATTGATTGATTGTTTGGTTGGTTGTTTGTTCGTTTGTTTGCTTGTTTCTGTGTGTCGATTCTTTGGTTGAATTTTCAGGATCCTAAATTAGATGCGCAACTGTTGTAGGCAAATACTGAAAAGAGACATTAATTAACAAACTTTTGGAATACAAATTAATATCTAATGGCCCGTATTCTCAAAGATAAATAATATCTTCCTAGCTGGATTTGTCCGACTTCTCTAACACGTATTCCTTCGATCTCCTTATCTATATCCTGAATGACTTACCAAGCTTTTCTTGTTGATATCCCCTCCCATGGCGAGTAGATCAGCTAAAACATCTGGCTGATCCGTCCAGGCGGCTATATGAAGGGCGTTTACACCTATCACCTACGATAGAGAAGGTGAAATAAATACGATTTAAACATGTGATTCAAAGTATAAGTAGATTGATTCATGATATGCCCAATGTCCGTTTTTAACAGTAAATCAATTTTAGCTCAATGAAAAAAGACCCGCTACCGCCAAAATCATCAACCCACCACCACAACTACCAGGACTTCTATCCCCATGAACACCGGCTACCAACACTTAACACACGATCTTCATTAACATCTACATGTAGGTATGATTTGGTTGAGGTAGGAGGGGGAGGGGGCAGATCTACCTCCGACAAGGACGAACCGGTTATCACCACCACCACCATCACCACTATACCGCCATTTGCATCATCATCCCCAACATCTTCATCATCACAATTAACTATTACCACCAATGTCACCATCAATACCGCATTTACCCACTACGATCATTACTGGTATCATCGTCACACCGCCATCACAACCATTACCACCACTACCATCAACGCCACCACCATCACCACCACCTCCACTACCATCACCGCCACCATCATCGTCATTAACCTACCGGTAAGTTTTTGTTGGGGTCACAGCCACCTCCAACAAGGATTCGTGTGATATCATTATGACCGTTACCAGCGGCACAGAGTAACGGAGTATACCCCTCCTAAAGAAAAAAAAGGAACATTTTTACATGTATTAGGAGATCCACTTTAAGAATTGAAAGTCATCATATCAATTACCAGTAGTAATAGTGCTTTGCATAGGCCCGTCAGTCGTTTATTAACTAAATTCAAATCCATAAACAAGTGTTGATGTCTGAATCAGTTCCTATTAACAGTTCCCGTTATACAAAGAAAAGGAACAAACCTCTCACAATTACATGTATCGAGACGTGAAGCGAATGATGACTGTGCTTTTTGAGAAATTTTGGACAACCTCATAATTTAATAAATGCACATTTACAACAACTACATATACTGAAAGGCCGAATGAAGAAAATGATAATAATTTTGTTTTCAGAAAGTTATTATTATAGTAAAAGTCCTCATACCTCAGTTTCTGCTTCCATGTTTGCTCCTATAGATATCAGTAGATGAACAGTACGTACATAGCCAGCTAGACAAGCCTCGTGAAGGGGACTCAGACCACGCTTCAAAGAGCAATAAAAGATATATATATAATTTATTGATTGAATCTAATTAAACCTCAGTTTCAGTGATCACTTTGCCATGCCCCCCATTTTAACTACTATATTCGCCTTTAAATATTATATTGTATGATTTCATTGGGTCCAAATTTACCTTTTGTAAGTTTTTAAAGAATTCGACAAACAAACTTCATGAATGAAAAGTGTTTACCTCATATTTTTTTCTTTATGAAAATCCACAAGGAAAATATTATGTAATAATGGATAGAAAGACTGAGACGGAATTTGAAATGAAGTGACAACAAATGAAAGTAAAAAAAAAAGATATACAATACACATATTAGCAAATAGTTTCTTTAATTAATTGTTTTAACTGAAATATAGCATTATACATGATGAAAGTTATCATCATCATCATTATCACCATCATCGTCATCATCATCACCATCATCGTCATCATCATCACCATCATCATCGTCATCATCACCGTCATCACAATTATCATCATCATCACCATCATCATCATCATCATCATCATCATCATCACCATCATCACCATCATCATCATCACCACCATCACAATTATCATCATCACCATCATCATCATCATCCTCATCATCATCATCACCATCATCACCATCATCATCATCACCACCATCATCATCATCATCATCACCATCATCATCATCATCATCACCATCACCACCATCACCTTCATCACCATCATCACCATCATCATCATCATCATCACCACCATCATCATCATCATCACCATCATCATCATCATCACCATCGTCAACACCTCATCACGGCCACCCTTAATACCTTGCTCCTAGCATTGACATGCCAAATAAGTCCTCGGGTAACTCCAGCCATGATAATAGGTACACATCCGCTCTGCGCGGCCCAATGTAATACCGTCCGATCGTCCTACAAGCCAATTAAGGAGGGAAAAAAATTGAAATTGAAACTTTAGAGGAAAATCTACATCTCTACATCAAAGATGAACACCTGATTAATGTAGAGAAAATAAATCATAATCGAACATTCTGGATGTAAGCCTACTCTGATTCTGTCATAAAGTCATAAAGACAGTTAACACTTTTCGAACATTTCGAGTCTGTTCACCAAGAAAGTAAGAAAATTTACGAATAAGTTTCATACAGGATAGACATAACTCTCTTTCTGAATATACTGACAAACAATCGATTAATCTAATATTAATTTTTTTTCAAGAAACTTTTTTAAAGATTTTAAAATACTCCCAAAAGCCTTCTTTTTAATGATGATCATTAACATCTTTTGCTATTGCGCTAATTTGTTTGAACTAAAAGTCTATAAAAACCGTTTTATACTTGTAGAGCGCTATTCAAATGAATTCATGGTATTTTATTCTTTGAATAATTTCATTCTTGATTGTTACGAAACCTTTATTTTGTTTACATTCACATTTTTTGATACACTGTAAATTTCATTCATCTACTTAAGTTGACCGACGGATTATTTATATCATCCAATGTGACTCAATCACTAATGTAACAACATGGACAAACAAACCGATATAAGTAGATCTGTTTTGATTCTGATTACCATACAATGTCCTTGGTCATGTAACTTTATTTGTTTGATAAGGACCAGGGGTCGATGATCGATAGAAGCATTAATGTATATCGGGGTAGTTGACCCAATCACCTTGATACTAACAGTAACAGATAACCTTTTCTTCAGTTTTTTTTTATAGCAATCAGCAATAAAATAAGACACACAAAAACAATGATTCTTATATGTTGTAAAAACCTAGATATGAGACAAAATTTAATTCATTAAAAGGCATGGATTTAATTATTAATGTTTCCGATGAATTATTAACTGTAAGAACGCTATTTACATCTAACAACTTTACACGTTTACATCATTATACACAAGATATGGTCATCTTTGGTAGCAAGGCATCGTGAGCAAAGTCCGGACCAAATGTGACCAGATGCAAACCAGAAAAAATGAAGACATTAGGCTACATTTGAAATCAAAAAGTGAATAACAAAATGAAACACTTAAAAAAAAACGGATGCTACCCCGCGACAACATTCAACAATTTTTTTATCCAATAGACCGATTTACTATCGGGGGTGGGGCTCACAACATGTTATAGTCAGTGCATCATCTTCATGGTATTGTCGGATTCTTTAATTAAGGAACCATTATGTCCTTCCAGGATTTAATTAGTTTTTAGAGTTTTGCTATGGATTGTGCATGATTAAACCCAAACGACTCCCGGCAACCGAATCCATGTTATTAACCCGACTCGTTAACCGTCAGACAAACACGACATTGTTAGCTTCGATTACTCACTGAGTTTCTGCATCATTAGATTACCAGAGGTTTCATGTTATACTTTGTTTTAGATGGCAGAAACTATTAAACTAAGTCGACATGATACTTCATCTGGATTTCAATTATGCATAATCAGTGAAAGTTAAGTGGATGAAATAAGGAACGCAGTATATTTCAAATCCTACATTGTCCCTCTAGATTTAAACTGAAACTTTATATTAAAGTCAAGAATGCCGTACACATAATAGGGCATATAGCTTGCGTTAATGAAGTTGACAACTATATACCTCGAATTAAATGTTAATGAGAAGTACGAGGCCAAGAACATAACTAATGCTCTACGATTTAGGGCGAAAAGGGACAGCTAAACAGAGCAGATTGAAATTGAGGGAGAGGGTTTATGAGAGGCGGAGATCGAGAGATAAAGAGAAAAGTATAAAAGTAAGAGACAGATGGAGAAATACGGAGACAAAATTGATAAAATTATATGAATAAGAAATCGAATGCAAAAGAGCTGGCACTGGAGAAATAATAAACTTCACTTTTCACTTTGTCTTATTTATCCGTCACACTTTCTGATAAAGTATTTTATCACACTCTAAATATGGTAGTTAATTACCTCATCTTTTTGCAGGACATCGTCCCCGTCTTCGAGCATCTTCTTGAAAGCTGCGACGTCGGCATTCCTGGCAGCCTGAAGGAGAGGTGGTAGATCGTCATCCATTTCCTCCGATGGCAGGTCTTCCCCAGACGACGTCATCGTCGTGATCGAACGTCAGTGAGTAGTCTGTCACGAATGGGTATCAGGTAGATTGAGTAATAAATGTCTGAGGGAGGGGTATAACCCGGAGCTAGAGTTTTATGATCTGAGACCCTAATCGGCGCAAGCCCGTGGCAGAATAGCGAGAATGGACGCAAAGACGATGGATGTACAATAATATTCGAAACATGTTTCGAAGTTTAACTGTTATTCGACTATATGTATGAAACTATTTCAAAATAAAGACTTTAGTATCAAAAACTTTAAATTGACCCCCCCCCCGCCCCCAAAAAAATTAGTTATAATTGTCTTCTTGCCCCTTCTTCAGGGCAAACAACCAAAGATTCATTCAGTTCAGCAATACTCACCTTGAAGGTATTTAATTGCCGCTATATAATTCAATGAAATTAACATGAATAAGTTCAACTTAATTTATAGATTCCTATGAATAATTTATTACTAAAACTCACCAAGATGAAAGATACCATGCAAAAGATATCTTAAATTCCGAGAGATTGTGTTCTCATCGCATGCAGTATAAAGAATAAATATTAACACAGAGGTCTAAAGACACTGGACATCCATCACAATCACAATCTTTGTTGAATAAGTGGACCTGATCACCACTGTTAAAATAAGCTCAGCAGCAATAAAGATTGCAATTATTGTTGAGTGGTATAGCGAATGTGAGTCCAGTAGGCTGCTCTGAATAAACTGATCACGGACTTTAACCGCGATAAAACAAAGCTATACTATACTAACTACAGGCTTTGTAACCAAGTACGCGTGCCCTGTTCGAGATCGGGGGCGGAGCCGGAGCCAAACTATATTGGACAAGCAGTTCCATTCAAACCAAAATCATCTCATGCTATAGTTGGCAAGTGTAAATGAGATATATTTCGTGAATATCTGGAAAAGGGTATGAGGAGCTTAGATAATGTACAAGATTTTTTGAGGCGGGTAAACAACAGCAACTCTAATAGTTGACTAATATTGTAGAAAATATAGTATTTCACTTCAATTCATTTCATTTATTTTACATTAAAATTTAATATAAAATACATAACAAATTAACAGCAAAATCGGAAGGACCCCAAGAAAAGCAAAGCTTGTGAGAATGGGGCCCTGTACAAAAATAAACATACACCTGTACAAGCAAAGATGGCGCGACCCGGTTAGATCCTTATTTCCTTATAATTGTTAATGTGTGTTTTTATGTTACCTATGTTTAAACTTTTTTGTTTTCCTTTCTCTTATCTATATCAATTTGAGTTGCATTATTGTATATGCCATGTATACAGTTTTACCTTTGAAATAAAACTATAATAAATAAATAGATAAATAAATCCGTGGTACGTCACTAGATCATTTCCTATGAAGACAGGGCTGTCAGGGTTTTGTTTCGAACAACTTAGCCCAAGAATTTTAAACAAGCAAGCCCTACCCCCTTCCCGAAAAAAATATGTAAGTCGGCATTTATTTATACCAACAGGTATATAATGTCGCGCCTCCCCAGTCTTTGGTGACAACAGATGGCGGCATACCACTAATTTGGTTTTTGACGGATTCAATGACAAAACAATAAAATAACAATAATGACAACAGTTAATTTTAAAAATGACGACAAGCAATTGGAGATAAGCAAATGTAATGAAGATATCTGAGAGATATTATCACGTTCTGTCTGTCTATTTCACTAAAACTAAAGTTATGAAATGTAATAATCATAAGACGGCCGGATGAAACATAATTTTGTCGTTTTGTACGAGGAATACAAAATGAAATTTTGATTGCGATCTTTCCTTTCAAACTTAAAACCATCGAAAGAAAGCATGGTACACGACTGTAACATCTTTATCAATCCAAGTTTTAGAAAGTGACATTATATCATATGGATTACACTTTAAAAATTGCTCTAAATCTTGAATGTCTGTCAGAAGAGGTATAGTAATACAGGTTGGATTTCTTCTTCGACAAGTTCCATAGCAAATGGTAATGGTAAATGGTGAATAAACATTTCTGACATCTCCAATTAAGAAAACTTTCTATGGGATTGTTGTATTGTCGACAATTGCTATTCAGATGAAGAAGCCTGAAGGATACTGTCATCTCAGATCTGAGCGTGAATGAATTTCCAAGTTTTTAAGATGCATTATGCCAAAAACACACAATTTATGAACTATATATTAATATTGGTTTTATATACTCACTTTTTGCAGGTGCCGGTGAATAACATGCCGCTCCTCAGAAGTAATGTTGCCATCAAAACTTCAACAACAATTAACAGTTGTGGATGAGCATACCGATTGATATCACTTCCACATCAGGAAAAACGTACATCGGATTCTATCACGGTGTCAGTTTCAAATCTTATAGCTATACCGTAGAATGCACTTTTGAATTATGAAACGAAAAGTCATCGCAGTATCATTGCCATATATCGTCGATCGCAGATTTGTTCACATAATTTTAATGACGAAAGAGTTACTCCACAATCGCATACATCTCCATCATTCTCCTATGAAAAATTGCCTTCTCGCAATTCAAGGTGAACCCATCATACGTTGAGTATACCACCAACTTCAAATAAGGTCTTAAATCTAATACATGTAGCTCCGTATCTCATCACACCTTTAGTATGAAAAGGCGATCAGATTGGGGGTACTTACCTGGAAGTGGCGTTGTATAAGACCAGGATCTATACAAATGATGACTCGTTGGAAACTGTGCCTTTTGTTCCTGGGGTTGTGCTAGTCAATCCTTTTACTAGTCGTAGCTCGCATCCTTGACCGGTATTGTCCACTATTCCGGCTTATTTTGCTTTTCAAAGAACAAATCATGACTCTCTACTAAATATCATTTTATTCACGGAGCTGCGATGGTTGCATGCGGTGGGTATTTTAACTATTCTATGGCATAATAATATACGACCAGGTGGTCTATAAATAGACACTTTACACAGTCTGTTTTTCTAGGATAAATATTTCTTAATATCAATGAGGAGACGAAAATCGATAAACTTGATACCAGGTTCGAATTAACTTCGCCTTGTTTCCATTGTAGCGCAGAGTTCAGCACAATCATGCTCATCAAAATCTGCGCTCATTCTTGTATTTAAACGTAGATGGCGGCAAGCCTAAATGGTATCGTGATCTTTGAAGCATTAGAGCAACGTCATTTCTGTCAGTGTTTGTGACCAATGTTGATATATAGAAATTACTACCTTGCCCTTATCGTAAGGTAATCATAAAGAGGTTCGAGGTTACAATATCTCGGCCCCAATGCATAAGTAACTTTTCTCTTACTCATTTCACTAGAAGATTATCATCAAGATCCATCTTATCCATTCCAGCAACACCCATACGGGTGTCACCCCAGCATCATTTTGATCAACTTGATTACACCCAGTGTGCTCGGCACTCGTAGGAGGAAACGAAGAAATAGATTACCATCATTCATCATCTATCTATCTCTCTCTTCCTCTTCCTCTCCCTATCACACTCCCTCTCCCTCTCCTTCTCCTTCTCTTTCATTCTCTTTATTCCCCCCTCTCTCTCTCTCTCTCTTCCTTTCTCTTTCTTCCTCCAGCTCTGTGTCCCCCTTTTTAATCTCTTTCTATCCAATTATCTTGTTCTCTCTTCTCCTTTCATCTTTTTCCTTTGCCCTCTCTATCTCTCTCTCTCTTTCTCTATTTCTCTTTCTCTCTCTCTCTCTCTCTCTCTCTCTCTCTCTCTCTCTCACACACACACACACACACACACTCACCCTTCCTTCAGATCTATATGTACTCTTCTTTCTATACATTTATTTAATTATCTCTTCTATAGCTCCTTTCTTCTTTTCCTTCTCTTTTTCTCTCTCCCAATCACCGTCATCTACTTGGTAAGCTAAATAAGGTCTCCGTGAGCAAAAATGACAGCAAGTCAATTAGCGTTTGAAATTATTTGTTGATATTAAAGTCAAGAGCAGACGTACAATCTACAATAACACAAGATACATATACATATATGTTAGGAATCAGGGAAATACGAAGGATATTTCATGTTCATCTCTCATCACCATTTGGTTACACATATCATCTTTTCCCCCGTCCTACTATTTTCTTTACTAACACCTCCTCCGTTTTAAGACCACTCATATCACTACAATTTCTTCTCTATGAATCTCGGAATAACAGCATCAACCCACAGGCAATTCCAATATGACGAGCTCTTCTTTGGCTAGCTAAATAATTACTTTCCTAGCTTAGGTACCGATGAGATATTGAATTCATAATTAGACTCAGATGAAAGGTATAAAACAGGTTGTGTTTATTGAAAAGAAGGATGAGAAGGCCGGGCATGGAGGATCGTCTATATAAGTGGATCTCTTGCTTTTATCAAACAAAGATGGAACCCCAGTGTGCTCGAGACATTCCAAGATTATTTTCCTCACATTCTTTCAATATCAATTTCATTTCAAAATTTCTTTGAAGCTGCAAGTAATCATGCTAGAATATTATTATATTGTGAAAATTATATATCGAGTATATATTTATATATAGTCCAAATTGGATATCAAATTGGGGAAACTTTAGGGCAAAGTAAGGGAATGGGGGGGGGGGGGGGGAGTTTAGAAAATTAAATGACTGCTCTTTACAAATCACGAACGTTGTGTAGAAAGGAAGACCGTATCAGGGTAGCCAAACGGTAAATGGGGTATATATATAGGGAAACCTCGGTTGGTTGGCTTCCATTCACACAAGCAAGATATTTTTACTAGATGAAAAGTTTACTTGTGGGCATGCTCAATGTTATGGTGAGCCCAAATCAACAACATATGATTTTTGACGAGTTTGCGGATGAATAGAGGAGGCGTCCCCAAAGTTCATATTTTTATTTTACTGCAAGGGTTGCCTCCATAATGGGGGCACTCGCCCCCTCCTGGGGGCGTTTCATGAAACTTGTCATGTGTGACAAATAACAGTTTTTGTTATAAGCTACTAAAATCCTTGCTTCTGATTGGTACTCAGCAGATTTGTCACTGATTTTTGTCATTTGTCATTGAAAAAAGACTTTGTGAAACGGGTCCCTGATCCTCCACAGTGTACATACTATTCAGTCTATGTTTCAGTCTATGTCTCATGAAGCAGAATGACGAAGCCATATTTCATATAGGCAGGATGGCTTCCTGATTCCTCAATCACGGAGTCCCAGACCTTGCCCCGAAGGCAAGGAATATAACACAATGTGGAAAGAAATATTGACGCTAGAGGTTCAAGTGTTTTTAACGTTCAGGTTCAAGTAGCGAGCGAAGAGCAATGTCCATATTGCTTCATCCTTTTGAAGTATACAGGGCGTATCATAATAAAGGATATTGAAGTTTAGTGACGATTTATATGAAAACTACTGATTTCATAATCAAGCATTTTATGTCTGTTGTAAAGGACAGAATGTCCTCTTGTTAATGACACCCCGATCATACTACTACTGTCACAGTTGACTGAATAACAAAGCATTGCTGTCCACCATGTGAAAGGTGCACTGTGCCAAGTTTGATAACATTTCCTTCTTAGACACATAATCCACTCATTGTTCAGCATTTCAATATGTCTGGGCTGACACAAGCACTAATCTTTAGAATTTATCTGTGAATGCTAACTTGTCACAGTGCACCTTTCACATGGTGGACAGCAATGCTTTGTTATTCAGTCAACTGTGACAGTAGTAGTATGATCGGGGTGTCATTAACAAGAGGACATTCTGTCCTTTACAACAGACATAAAATGCTTGATTATGAAATCAGTAGTTTTCATATAAATCGTCATTAAACTTCAATATCCTTTATTATGATACGCCCTGTATATCCCTTCGAAGGTTTCGGCATATAGATACTGTGGATCACGCTATGAGATAAGGCAGAGAAAAATATAGGAAAAGGGACGGATGAGGTGGAGGAAGAGGAATAGAAGGAGGAAG